GGCATTATTTTTAATTTTTTTATTAATTTTTATTATTATTATTTCTTTTAGGAGACTTCTCTCATTGCGAATTCTATAATACGTATATACGAATCCCCTAATCCCCTTAGTGACGCGGTTACAGATTATTGCAAATAACCCTTAACCCTTAACCCCCGAGACAGGGCTGGCACGAACCATGACGAATACGTGTTATCGTATGTACATGCGTGTATACGTGGGATAGTAAAATGTATGTATGATATGTGTGGTTACTGATATGTATGTGTAGTATGTGTACGGGATGTAATGTAGGTACGCTGTGCCGCCGGCAATGATTCCCCCACCGCCACACCCAACGATCATTATATAAAGTTGCTGGATGGCGCGCTTGCGGGCGAGGCGCGCATCTACTGCTTCCGAAATTATGTAGACAACTGATTATTCATAGAACAGGATCCAGATGCCAGCTTCCCCCGGTCCTATCATGCGAAGACCGCCCGTGAGAGATCCTCGTTCCGCAGCGACTCAGACCAAAGTTGTTCATAACATCATCATACATTACCATTACCATAACACATAACAGCATTAGTTAGTAACTAAACCAACATTGCGGACAACAGGAACTTTGAAGCATTGACGATTGCACGCATGGTTCTGGCACTGGTTCCCCCCCAACGTGGACGGTTACACCAGTTGCGACAACAGGGCAAGCATCAGCTGGTTTCGCCCTAGGGTCTGATGGTCGTGTCCGGGGATGGCCTGTCTCGAGTCCTGAAGAAAACGTCCGGGCTTCCGATAAGGGCAATCCGCAGGGGAACAACTGATGAAGATCTTATGAGCTGCGATCCTGATAGGCTTCTATCAGCCGAGTTTCCAAACTAGACAAGGTTTACCTGAAATACCGTGCATTAAGAAAAGTTATGCATTCGGCATGGAAAAGATCAACGCCTAGGATAGCGGCCTTGACGCATTTTCATCTACACGCAGAAGAATCACTCACGATGCTTGCATCTACGTACATAACACGGCTTCTCTAAAGACTTATTATTATAGCTTTGACTTTGAACACTTCACTTCGAACCAGTATTATTTCATCATCCAAGGTTTCATCCAAGGTTAGCAATACGATATTCATCATGTATTAGTTAAGTCGCTTATTTCAGCATTCGAATTACTCATCAAATTTTTATACATTTATGACTTAAACGAGCTGTGCCTTAGAGGATTCTCGGCTATGGCTATTGTTATGGTTTTCCATACTTGTTTATTTCGAGATGATCTAGCGCTCAAAGTCTTTCTTCCCCCCGCAGCTCGTTGGGCACGGCACACGAAGCATTGGCTCTAGTTGGCACGCAGTGCAATCAGAAGCTATCTAGAAATGAGCAAAAAAAGAGGTCAATCTCATGTGGGAGGAGTAAATCCCGAATTCTCCGGGATTCGTTCGAGTCATGTTACTCGTCGCTGCTGCAAATGGGAGGAAAGGTAGTGCGGGCAGATCAAAGTCAATCTTCTGCATCTAGACCTGTCTAGACTCGGTGATGCACGCTGGCTACCCGTACGCCTACCATTTGATATGACGAATGGTGAAGACATTCCGCATCCCATACTTGATATTACAAAACTCGGTTTTAACGGTATGTAATCACGAAATGATCGTCTACTATGTATCAACTATATAGAAGCTATGAGAAACCCCGCCGGGAGAAGCAAGCCATCACGATCGTCCCGAACATGGCTAGTTCGTAACGCAGGCAACATACACCCGTCGGGAATCTATCTGACGAAGCACTTAGTTAGATAGCTTGACGATAGCTTCCGCTAACTCCGGTGGAGGGATTCGGTAAACACTGCGTGTAGATTATGAGCTTCGATACACCGTTTAGACGGTAAATGCCGTTTAGTATACGTCAACGCTCTGTATATTTTGTAGAATAGCTTGATACAGTAGTAAGATTTAAAAATATCGAAGCCTGCCTTTCCCCCCCTATCTAAATAAGCGTATTTTAAAATACCTACCGCTGGTTTCAGCTGTATTATTCTAGCGCCTCTATTATCATGTCGAGTCGAGCGTCACGATTTTCGTAAAACCAATTACGTCCAACCAAGACAACTAGTCCACAACTTGGATATAGAATGAGGCATACGAAATACAGTGATAAAACAGTTGCATATCGAGTCAAGGATGATGTGAAAGAAAATATTACCAGTCAAGTAATAGCTAGAAAACAATCCCTAGCAAGTTTTGTAGATCAAAATACGACTTATATGATTATGACAATAGTATATGTCCTAAAAGGGTGTTTTGGCTGACGCCCTATCAATACTTCATTTTGCATGAATATTTACAACCCGAGAGATTCTACTAATCTAGGGCAAAGGATCTACGTACGAAAATACTAGCTACATAGGAAAGAAGCGCGATATCCAGATCCTTGCTTTCGACAGCGATAATAGCGTCGCCTATTCCGACCCCAAATCTCGGCGGCGTCAACCAGTACGTATGACCTGCAGGTTCTGCGCTACCACGTAGCATTATGATAGTACTATGTAGAGTGAGGCGTCTTGACCAGGCTAATTGCTAACCGAAATCGCCAAGCTAGACTTGCCTTGGCCCTTAAGGTAGGCATATTGATTTTTTTTTCTCGACAGAGGAGCGCTTAGTCCGTCCTAGTGCCGGCGCTTCTAACGTAGTCTAAGTCGGGATAGTATCTACTTTTTCCACTGTGTCCAGCTTACGTATCAGATGAAATATCGAGGAAGTTATTGGATGACACTTCTTTACCGCCATCGAATAGCTCAATTTGTCTTACGAGAATTTTTGAGGCTGGACTACGGCTGGACTATTCGCCATTACACCGAGCCTACAGTAGGACGGTTATAAACTCGGTGAAGGCTAGGAGAATTCAGACGTCGTGGTGGGTCTCTTCTCCTGCTTGGATTCTCTGCGGCGAATGTACTTACATGGAACATCCTCGTTGCGAAATACGGACTACTGTTTCCAAGACGGTACCCTCTTCCTAGGTACATATTGGCCTGCAGTTACAACAGTTACAATGCGTGTGTAGTATTCGAGATAGATACATAATAGAGCAAATGTATGGTGAAAGAATCATCTGGTTATATTGTGTCTTTTACGTGTTATAATATCTACATAGGTAAGTACCTAGGTAGGTATGGAAATATATTTTGTATTTAGCATCAGAGAGAGCGCTATCCGAGTTAAGAATGGTGTCCCGGCATAAGCACGTCCGCGCTACTTGCAAGTTCAGGGGTTTCCTCTTACAAACCTATATGGGAAAATTCATTGCAAAGAAATACAACAGTAAGGAGTTTAGGTGAGGCTCGAGAATTGCATCATCAAAGTATTCCGAGTAACGCTCTTGATGTTTGTAATAGTCCTCGTCGACGACCCCTATCTATATACAAGCAACTGTCGTAGTGTAGGTTATCATCCGCTCCTAAATCCCCCCCCACACGAAGCCCCATGGATATGGAGTCATGCCTACTCCCCAGAAGCTGGCAATAGTCATGGTTGTAGCATGTCTCCAGTGCTCCATATACCCGCCGTGAGCTTGACTTTTGGAGAAAGCGGGATCTAAAGACAGAGCCTCAACTCGCTACCGAGATTGTATCCACTGCCCAGAGCTTATCATCAACAGAACCTCATTTCTCGCCGCGTCGACTCTTGCCGTTTTGGCCTTTCGTTATGACAATAACGACATTCCTTCTAATTTCCTGACCTCGATAACTTCTTCGCCCCCCCTTTCGAAACGCGTATACGGTCACGAGATTTCTTCCTTCTCCCACGATGACATCTGATAATTACTTTAATTCGTCGATACGAGCCTTCTAAGATGGCATGCTAAAGCTTCCGTCATCTCCTGCAAATCTCAAAAAGCAGTGATACTATAAGAATGCAATCTCTCTTCCAATTAAATAAGTCTCTCTAGCTATAGAGAGTAAATATAGACTCCTTCTATAACGACTTACGAAGACACGAACTTCGACAATTATCCTAGAACCGACCGCAAACTAGAACAAGACATTTACTTTCTCGCATCAATTCAAGCCCGAAGTGCCCTAGGTTATAATAAAGTTTGATTTGCATATGTTCCGTGCTGAAAAGCAAAAACACTTACATTGCAGATCATAGTCATATTGATTGGACGAAGGAATGGTTTTCAAGAAAAGAAAAGATAATAGGGATATTTGATAAGCCTAGGGGCGTACACGTAGAGCAAAGTCTAGTATCGGAGTATATGTCTACGTCTACTATCTGGTCACTGCGGTCACTGCACAAGGAGAGACCTGCTATAGAAGGGGAGTCGGACTGACATCCTGCCCCAGCAGTCTAGCCCCAACCCAACACTGCCCAATTTACCTTATTGGGTATATAATAGATGCCAGGGAAAAGCTTAAGCAAACCTACGATATTAACCTTGTGACAAGTCACAGATTTAATCAACAATACTAAGACACGATGGAAAAGGTTTGCTACCAGTTCAACACTAGGTACCTACCTAACCTATCAAATACTGTTCAAGCCTAACAATCTGACAAAAATTAGTCTGATACCGCACAGTTACAAGCACAGTTACAAGCAAACATTGTTCTATTTCATACTTTTTTACCATGATAGTACTCTTTTCCCATCTCGTACCCAAGTCAACTTCTTCACGACGCGACAGATTGATCGTATAATAAAATTATCTCGTCAACTTGCATATTTGAAATAGTAATCGTATATATATAACAATCCATGATAGAAGTGCCAAGCCACAGTTTTGGTGGATCAGAATATTGACTTATGTAAGTAAAGAAAATACCTAATATTAGGTAAGATACCCACTTGCTGATAGCTTATCGGATTAACCTCGACAATATCGGATTAACCCAAAAATTCAATTCCGTTACAGTCAAAGATCAAAGATCACATTAACTTATACATTAATACATATCGCATACCTACTGGGATACCCTACCTGTACGGTATTGCTGAGGTACGAGGTAGTAAATTCATGGCCACAACTACCTCCCTCCGGCCTACAATTGGTCGGATAATAAGCGCTACTGGGAATCAGCATGTTGCGAACCCGTCCTTTCTGAGCGTGCTCTTGGTAAGAGCTGCGACTCAAAGCTGTCCGTTCTCCTCGACCCCAGACCGAAGTATGCGCCGGGCGCGCCGCGACAACAACAAACAGCGTGGGCTGAGCAGCATATACCGGTCCGGTCCACGGTTTCGGATGAACATCGAGAAGGATCAGGTACCAAAACCGGTAGATTTCAAACCGGACGTTAAGGTCGACCCGAACCACGGGCTATGGGAATTTTTCTACTCTAAGGAGAAGCTCCTGCTTACGCCTGACGAGGATTCCGAGCACGGGCGCGGGTGGACCGTTGAAGAGCTGCGGCATAAAAGCTGGGAGGATCTACATAAGCTCTGGTGGGTATGCGTCAAGGAACAAAATCGCATTGCTACGGCGCGGAAGGAGAAGGCCCGGCTAAAGCTTACGAACGGAGCGGAATTCATGGAGGATAGGCTATTAGAGGTAAGAATCTACGTCTAAGACCGACGACCTTTACTGGTGCTAATACATATGTGTAATACATAGGTCCGCAAGACGATGAAGTCGATCAAGCACGCGTTGACAGAACGATACTACGTATGGGAGGATGCAAGGAAGTTAGCTGAGACGGACCCGGAAATCGATCTTGCCAGCACAAACCGCCCTTATACTCCGAGCTCATATTTTGACGAAGACGTGAAGGAGACGGGATCAGTAGAGGAACAAAGGGAGGCGCAGCAAGAGCCATCATCGGAACAACAGGAGGCATCAGAAAAGTCGGCGGCTGAAAATGTTGACCCGTCTACACTTCCGCCTAATGCTACAGAGCCTCAACAGCCCTCGACAAGAGCATGAGCTTACGAGTATATGTATTGATACAGAGTATAAGCTCCGAGAATGGAGCATGTAAATATGTTACATTAAGTCAAAGGGTTGAACCGCGAACCTGTCTTAGTGTACCCAAGCTTGAGTACATACCTCATAGGTAACTTATAACTCATATTGGATGACTTGACATAATTGCTAAGCGTATGAAATACAAAGGTAAGATATTTATTTTGGGTTAGGCATATTAATATAATGACAGCGGTAATTATAACAAATATAGGCAATCAATAGTGCGTAATACCCTGTAGTAGATAATAAAAGGTAAAAAAAAAGGGGGGAAAGGAAAAAAGGGGGGTTGCTTTAGGTACTTAGGTACATTAAGCCAAGCGCGGGGTTGGTGTTAATTAGAGTTGATTGGTGGTAGCTCCCTTTAGAGGGGTTCAGTGGTCCAACAGTCTAGTGTTCCAGTGGTTCAGTGGTTCAGTTCCATTGATAACTCGAGCTTCAGAACCATTGAACCATTAAATCATTAAACCATTAAACCATTAAACCATAAACGAACCAGCAAAGCTACTTTATTGTATCCACCACAACAACCTTCCTCTCACCGATACTTTTTTTTTCTTCTCCTTCTCCTAAACATCCTTCCTCGTTTGGCCTGGAGTCAATAAACATATCTCTCTAATCTACTTTGACGATTTAAGACTCGGAACTCTTTACTTAATATTACATAGATATATCGCACCAACGGAAACACCATGGACGAGATCGCAAAGGAGTACGATGTCATCGTTTTGGGCACCGGTAAGTTCCCTTTAGGCCCCGCATTCCCTACTTTAAGACTTCGTTTGTCTACTACAGCCTTGGTGGGGTTTAACTTGTTTAACTTGGTGATGTTGAGTTAATAAGGTAGCTAACACGCATTCTCTCGCCCAGGTTTAACCGAGTGTATTCTCTCTGGGTATGGATTACATCATAGTAGTTCGCTGACGCAACGTTCCGGACTGAGCTAACAACTCCAAGTGTGCTGAGTGTTAAGGGCAAGAAGGTTCTACATATCGATCGCAATGATCACTACGGAGGGTGAGTAATAGCAACAACACCTAACAAATATATCCTCTTATAAGTATTCGACGATTTACTAACAAATATATCCATATAGAGAGGCTGCATCCGTAAACCTCGAGACGGTACATACTTATTCCACTTTCCCTACTGATTAACCTTCGCCGATGATCTCGATGAACTAACTTTGTTCTTTTCCAACAATAGCTATTCAAGAAGTATGGTAATTTCACGAAGGGCGAGGAACCATGGAAAAAGTACGGTCGACCCAACGACTGGAATATCGACCTAGTTCCTAAGTTCCTCATGTCGTCCGGCGAGCTGACCAACATCCTCGTCTCTACCGACGTTACCCGCTACCTCGAGTTTAAGCAGGTCGCAGGCAGCTTCGTACAGCAAGGCGCTGGAGCAAAGGCTACCGTTGCCAAGGTCCCCTCAGATGCCGCCGAGGCTCTACGCTCTCCCCTGATGGGTATCTTCGAGAAGCGACGGATGAAGAGCTTCATAGAATGGGTCGGCACCTTTGATCAGAAGGATCCTGCTACACATAAGGGTGAGTAGTGGAAGCGAATTATAAGGTGATGAACAATAGCTGACGATATATTTCTGGTTAGGCCTTGACATAACCAAGTGCACAATGAAGGAGGTTTACGACAAGTTCGGCCTTGAGACCTCTACTCGCGACTTCGTCGGTCACGCCATGGCCCTTTACCTTAACGATGAGTACAGTGATGAAGCCGGCAAGGCCCCCGAGGCTATCGAGCGTATTAGGATGTACGGTAACTCGGTAGCAAGGTATGGCAAGTCGCCTTATATCTACCCACTGTACGGTCTCGGCGAGTTGCCCCAGGGCTTCGCGCGGTTATCTGCTATCTATGGTGGTACATATATGCTCAACACTTCGGTCAACGAAGTCGTGTATGAAGGTGGCAGGGCGACAGGTATCAAGGCTACCATGACCGGCATCGAGCCCGAGATGAAGTTCGAGACCAAGGCCAAGCTAATTCTCGGTGACCCTTCGTACTTCTCCGAGAAAGTCAAGGTTGTCGGCCACGTGTTGAAGGCTATCTGCGTCTTGAAGCACCCCTTAGCTGGTACCAACGACTGCGACTCCTGCCAATTGATTATCCCCCAGTCTCAGGTTGGCCGTAAGAACGGTAAGTCTCCACGTTGTAAGGATAAAATACGCGGACCGATAGCTAATAAATCTAGACATCTACATTGCCTGTGTCTCGTCAGCACATAACGTGTGCCCTAAGGGCTACTACATCGCTATCGTTTCCACGATTGCCGAGACCTCTTCCAACCACCACCTCGAGCTGCAACCTGGTCTTGAGCGCCTCGGCCAGATTGAGGAGCAATTTTTGGTAAGTTAGACATTGATATCCCCCCACCCCTGCCAGTCACGTATGTTTATGCTTACGATTCATTTAGGGCCCTCCTATCCCGCTCTATGAGCCTCTCGAGGACGGTACCAAGGACAATGTCTTTATCTCTAAGAGCTACGACGCAACGTCGCACTTCGAGACGACCACGGACGACGTCAAGGACATCTACGCGCGCGCCACCGGTGAGGAGCTCAAGGTAGAAGGCCTCAGGGACTTGCAGGTCACCGAGGAGTAGAGGCGTAGTTCTAACTAAGTAATTCGGCGAGGTGGGTTTGGGGACACTTCGATTGGTAATACTTGAAGAAGAAGGGGAAAAGCAAGCTAGCTAGCTAGTGGCAGAGCATCGAGTATACAAAGCACGCATGTGTATCCAGAGCTGTGGCTAGAATACCGACCGGACGAGGGATTACATGATATTCATACATACATTCATATATGCGTAGGAGGCTCCGTGTGCCGGATTTGAAGTCAAAGTGTAGCTCGTCGCATCTTAGTTTTTATTTTTTTTTTTTCGCTCCGATTCGAAATTTGCAGATAGTGTAGTGTGGTGTGGTTGGTGCTCATTTGATAGACGTACGACTTCGTAAGGTCTGTTTTTTATATTTGTTGTTTTATTATGGTGCTGTGACTGTTTTTTTTCTACGACTCTTCTCGTGTGTTGAATTGCCTACTGTAGGGTTAGGTTGCTGGGTATATAAAGTGTACGTAGTCGTAGTCGTAGTAGCTATTTATGGGATGTGTCGTAGCTTGTAAGGTTACGTACCTTACCTACCTAGTTAACTCATCTTCTACTTAGATACTACTTCTTATGGTCGGTAGAGGGCCGTAGGTTGGGCTCCTTGCCACCGGTATATAGGCACATACGTCCTCGGCTAGGGAGCTGGGTAGTCGGTGTAAACGTTTTGTTTATTTGGCGGGTTTCGGGATAAGTTATGGTCCTGTTTCCTTGTACTTCCACTGGCGGTTTACTACAGTTTGTTCGGGGTGTACCGATGGGCCATAGGGAGGAGATCTGAGAGTTGACACTAGAGGTGAAATATATACCTAGGTATATATACCTATATAGGGAACTATGTAGTTAGTGAGACACGAAAACTTGCTTCTATAAAACTAATAATGATACTAGCTAGGTAGTTTCGGGCGGAGCGCTGGATAGGTGGTTCTTGGAATGGTCGGAGAGTCATTGCCAGGTATCATACTATAATATCATCTGGGAGGTGACTTTTAGCATTGAAGAGAAATATTGGGTTACTACCTAAGCATATACCCTAGATATATTTTAATTATAAATCCTAACGCCGTTATAACGTATTACTTGAAGGAATTGGTTTCAATAATGTATAACTATAAAATAATACCAAGTTCTAGAGGAGCCTCGGGTGCTCGTATAGGCACTTAATGTCTTACTTATTGACTACCTGAGCAGATACTACACGTTCCTAAACTAGTTATTAGGTATGTAGGTATTTATATGCATACGAATAATACCACGAAGGTGCGAAAATACAGTTAGTTATCACACCTTCCTATGTAACTGAGTGCAGTTCTAACATCTAAATACTACACCTTCAATTCTCAAGCAACATATCTATCTATCTATCTATCTATCTCTATTCATTTATATGTGTACTTTAATGACCTAGGCACTATATATAGAGTTCTGGACGTATATAAAGTAAACACAAATTCCTTGACGCCTCTTATTAAAAATATAACAGATGAATGTGTATCATGGAAACTTTTAACCGAACGAGAATCGTAGCTATAAACGAAACCCGCAATATATCATAGAAAATAGTGAAGTTTCAACCTATATAAATGTGTTCTAAGCTATTTCGATATCATTTTTTATTTATAGATATTCATCTCCAAGGACTTCCACTAGAAAACTCTTTAACCCCCTATATAACCTAAATACGCTAGAAACCCCTTTCCTAACAACAACATTAACACCAAACGGATATGGAACTACCTTACCGAAGTAAACATACAGGTAAACATACGGATAAACACAAGCTAGTTGGGTAAAGTCAATAACATTAAAACATACTACATTTTACACTTTCCCAACCTTTCATCACACCGAGCAGTCTGTTCGATAAACCCTAATTTCCTTACACTAGGTAATCTACAAACGAAGGAGTACATACCGAGACATATATATATAGGTATGTATCACCTAACCTATGTTAAACATTCCCAAACATACGATGTACCACCTTCCATCCGACATCCCACGCCTCTCGTCAGCACAATGATCTCCCTTGCATTATCTCACCTTACCCTCTAGGTACTTATCTCAGAGCGGGATCGGATGGAGGGGGGTTAAAGAATATTTCTATTCTTATTTTATTTTATTTTATCTTATTTATCTCTAGCTATTTATTCCAAGTATCGTACCATATATCCCTACCCACCCAAGTATATACATACAAACAACCCGCATGCATGTATGCAATATATCTACCTAGGTACCCGTCCTCTTCCGTATGACGTACCCAATCCATCACCCTTTGACGGGTTACTATCTCGGGCAACCCTTACTTTTCTTTCCTTCAAATCTTATTTAAGTCTTGCGACCGTAAGAACAGACGTTAAAAGCGAGCGAGTCACGAGGTTCATGTTGATTAGGAACTCGCTACTACGCTCGTAGACTCAGATGAGGATTACCAAAAAAGAGAGGCTATAAAACTCGATCATTATTACGCATCACTAAAAAGGGAGAAGAGAGCTGTGATGATAATAGAGCGATGAATTCATCAACGGCAAAACGCACGTTGCGCAATATCAGGTAGCTACCTAGCTAGTAGTCTATGTGTCTTGTCTATATGCTCACTCACTCACTCACTCCCAGCTCTGGTTGCCATTATCATTTATGCAAATGCCGAAAAGTCTTCGTTCCACATGGCCTATGAACAAACTGCATAAAATCACCGCAATTGGACCATAGAAGCAGCGTCGTGTTTCTGTCCTCGTATGTAAATGCCGAACTTTTTTTTTCTTTTACTGGTAGCTTTCCTTCGTGATTGGGTATAAGAACTCGCAAATTATTGCTTGTACGAGTTCGACGCAAATCTCACATCACCTTACTTTACACCTCATTCCGATTTACCGTCTGGTCTGGCCTAAATGTTAGGAGTGAAACTCCGAAATACCGATTAGCCTCGCGATTTTGGTCTCGCCGAATAAGAGGGTAATCCGGTGATACTGAGTGACATATTGTGCCAACCTCCGCCGCCAAATTTTACCGAACTCTCCCCAAGGTGTAAGAAGCCGAATCGTTCATAGAACGTAACCAGGTACTAAGGCAGAAGGCGTTAGTATGATGCGTCACAACTTGCGCAGAGACCAAGAGCAGGAAATGATGAAGAGAAACTAATAGTACTTACACCTCGGCAGATAAGCGAGCAGCGTAGCGCGCACTCCGAATTCCTGAGCTGCTGAAGATACGACTTCATGAGGAGCTTTCCGAGGCCACAGCCCTGGAGCTTAGGGTGGACGGCGAACGAGTGGATGCAGATGGTACCGCCAGCCTCTTGATGGCCCAAGCCGGTTGTGTTGCGCTTATTAGTGCGGAAGTCACGGGGGTAATCCATGGCCTTGTCAGTGACAATTTCGTCGTGCGATCGTGTCGCCACGATATGCGCCATTAGAACACTTTTAGCGCCATTTTCGCGACCCGTCTCGACGGGATGCGCTGTTGGCAACGTATCGATCTCGAAGCCCTCAGTTTTATCAGGTGCGACGGTGCAGAAGAGACCGAGACATAACTCTGGACATACTGATAAGCGGTACTCAAACTAGTTGTGAGTTAGTAATTCCTTTCGTTAGATTCTTTCATTAGAGTACATATGGTATAGGAGGTATGTATATGTGATATAGGGGTAATCACGTGTAATCCAAAAGCGACATAGAAGCAAATATGACATATCAAACCAAGATATAATATTTCAACAAATCAAATATGAACCTGAAACAAAACAAAACAAAACAAAAGCAACTCAACTCACCTTCTCCCTCGTAGCCCGATGCGCCGGGTCCGCAAACGCAGCATCCTCTAGTGCGACACAACTCTCGAGGTCCGAGATGGTGAGCGGGCGCACGTTCGGCAGGAATGGGAACGGAACGAGCTCCTGGACCCGACCGAGCCTGCCTGGAGGCCTGTTGTGGTGGTGTCGCTGCGTATAGTTCTTGGTTTGGGTTGCTTTTATAAAGTCGTCATCCGGTAGGTCTTCCGAGTCGTCGACAGCGTTCTCTACGACGTCTTCTCTAAGAAGAGAGACCGGTACCTTTATGCCTGCTGCGCCTGCGATTATTGTCTCGTCGGTAGCGGCGACGGCAGGGTTGTCGCTGGCCCCTCCGGGTTTGGCGGGAGATTCCGACATGCTTGTCAGTCTGTCGAGCCTTTTTTTTTTCGTTCTCCGATTGGTTAGAATATTCCGGGATGTCTAAAATGAAAGGGAAGTATTTATTGGACGAGAGATCGCAAAGAGGAGGTTCAGGTAGTATTGGAGGCGTTGGGACCGAGGCGGGGTGCAGATGATAGACGGCACACACACAAATTTTTATCGATCCGAGAATGCGCTGTGATCAGATAAATGTTACTGTGGCGTTAAGAAATAAATATTATAGGTGATAGAAAGCATAGAAACATCTGTAGATGTTAGGGTGATGTTAGGGTAGTAGGCTCGAGCGTTTCCCGTCCGTGTTGGCGTTGTGTTACCTTGGATGGTGATGATTCTTATTACCTACATTTATGTTTTGTACCTGTTAATGGAAGAAAATGATACGTATAAGTAGAAGAACCAATTGAATTTACCGAAATTGGATCTCAATAAGCAACTACTTTAAAACGTAAGGGAGAGGAAAGAAAGATGGAAGATGAGGGAATAAAAGTACATAAATCAGGATAGGAAGGCACAACCACATCATCATTAAAAACTGCTTATTTGCCAGCACGTATTACTTTTCCTACCTTTAATAGGTACCTACCTAATTACCTACTTAAGGTAGTTACCTAACCTGGGTCACTTCCAATACGTGTATATATGCAGTAGTAGCAATAGCAGTAGCAAATGTAAATGAATCTCCTCTTTCCACTTGTTTCCCTTGTCCGCGTGACCCTTCCGCTTAAACAAGTAAGGCAGAGATTTGCGTATGCCCAATCATATTTTACCATCATGGACATTTCTCTTATTTGTCTCAGTCATCTTCACATTACTTCTTACTTTTAACCTCTCTTACTCACAACAAAGTCACGGATAATCTACTAGGTTAGGTACTTGTCAATAAGTCAACAGCCCCACCATAAAAAGGGGAAATAGGAAATAGGAAATCAACAACAAAATATCAAAACTGTTCAGAACCAGAGGGTATCATTGCCTATCATCTCTGTGGTATCGTACAGCCGTAGCTTTCTAGCCACGCCATCAAATCGTCCATAGTGGTATCCGCCTGTCCATCCTCCAAGCCCGTGTTGCAGTCTACCTCCCAAACCAACCCTGAACCCCCCCCCTTTTCTCCCTTCCAGTCCGCCTTGTCTGTAAACATAGCTGCCGTCATTATGATGGAAACTTGTCTTTGTATGTCCTTCGTCTTGGGAACGGATGGTGAGGATATGGGATATCTGATAGGCACCCCCAAAGTAGGCTAAACCCTATAAAAAAGAGAACCAACGCCACCTCATCGAGTGCAAACGCAACAACTATGGTATTTTTTTTCCTAAGCTGTGTCAAATTTTCTGTGCTTTTCTGTGGTATCGTCCGACGGCGTCCTCCCGCTCCAATCTGCAACGCCGTATTCCGCCTCGCGCAACTCGTGGTATCATGTCCAGATGTACTCGTGGATATAAGCGTCAAGTAAAATCGTTCGCAGCCTTCGCCTGGCAGCCTCCGAGCGAAGAGAAAAGAAAAAAAAAGAAGGCAGAAAAAACAACCATAAAACCGTAGAGCCTAAAAAGAAAATAAAAATAAAAATAAAAGATGAATCAAAACTATAAAGCAGAGAGTTGAGAAAATCGACCGAAAAACGCAGAGCCGACCGATGCATGATCATAGGATCGGGTATTTGTACGCCAGGGTATATCCAGCCGGGGGTATTGCACGTAGAGCATCTAAAAGACGGAATCTAACGGTATGGTCCAATCGGACCGGGGTATCCTGAATTTGTGGAATGAGAAGTCGACGGTCGACCACTGTCGCCAGACGCACGCGTGCCGTGGCGCGGTGTCATGTCACCGCCGTGGGGTATGCTGTTAGGTGTTAGTTTATTGTCGTAGCCGTTGCTAAAGTGACGGCTCGACCAAGGGTTACTGTCATCGTCTGGAAGATTGACGCCGCTATCGTTCCAGGGGTTTCGATCAGCATTAAAGCTGCGAGTCGACTCTATCGAGATGAGAGATGACTTGGACACATTGTTTGATCCCTTAAAAAATGTGTTCATCGAATGAGAGCTGTTCTTTCTGCGGTCAAGAGAAGACAGGAGCTGAGACGGCTTCCGGAGCTTGTCAAAGATGGTGGTGGTCCGCTGTTGGGTCATGTCCTCGCCAAACGCTGGTTTCGTAGGCGAGTCTGTGCCAATGGGAGTGGGGGCGTGCTGGAGCAATTTCGAATCAAAGTACTGAAGTGAGTCCTCGAACGAGTCCGACTTCGGACGCGGGATTGCACCCTTGACAACGGTACCATCAACGCTGGCAGCTGCGAACTGCTGCATGAGGAAATCAATGGCATCGCGGAGGCCACCAGTATTGTTGCGAGTGAGTTTCCAAAGTAAAGTTACGGTGCGCTCCCCTTCCTCAGTTTTCTCCTCGGGATTCTCGTGTACTTCAAGAGATACCTCATGCTGAGTCTTGAGCTTCGAAATAAGCTCGTTAACAAATTCGGGAGACTCGAGGAATTTGACAAGGGATGGAGTACGAGTCAAGACCAATTCGTGAGTTTCGGGGACCATACCCTTTGAGTAGATGTTAGCATTATACACACTATACGTTATGGCTCAGGCTCTGCTAGACTTACCAGGAACTCATCGGCACACAGAGGTACCTGCCATTCTGGACCTGTAACGGTCACCTCATCGCTAGCCTGTTCGGTGCTGGGAAAGACAATCTTGCAATTCCACTTCTTCTCAAGCTCCTCGATCTCTTGTAGACGAGCAATAAGCTGTCGATGGTAGAGACGGTCAACGTGCACAATCTGAGAAGTGAACTCGGAATGCTACGGAAAGACATGTCAGTGACTTGGATAGATCGTATAGATTCGACATGTCCGTGACTTACTGCTCTATCCACCATGTCCAAAATCTCAGTCTTGACCAATTCAAGATTCTGAGCGTTTCGAGCGGGAGTACGGCAGATGACATTGTCAACTTTGACGTCGTCATCTTCACGACCCATGCCTCCTAGTACGCCTGTTAATAAGCCCGAGCCTTGGCCGCGCTGGCGGGGGAGGTTCATACCACGATCCATAGCGTTCGAGAACTTGACAAAAACAGAATGTTTTTTCATGATCCGCTGGATGTGTTGACCGCCGATGCCGATAATTCGCTTGTGGTATTGGTCAGGAACGTGGAACGAAATAGAGGCAGGCATTTCCTGCTCTACCAACGTCATTCCTTGCTTCATGGAATCGTATGAGGGAGCGATAACATCAATATCAAAATTGTACTCTCTGAAACTGTCAAAAATGATTTGAACATTGCCTATATTGTGTTAGCTAAGGCTAAAGAATTATTCTTATCCGACTTACTCTGTGTCATGATTTTGTTGATCTTGCCGTTCTTCTTGCCCGAGACGAATTCCTTATGTTCATTGGCGAGCTCGATCTTGACCCGAATCTGATGCTGAGTCTGATTGACGAACTTAATCTGAGAGAGCACGCCGAGGGCCTGCTTCACGGCATCATCGGAGCCGTTGATTGTGAACGTCATTTTGTCAAAGGAGATATCCGCGTCGGAACTGGCGGAGATGTCACCAAGCATGGCACGGATTTCGTGAGGACCCGGAAGCTGGGAGATACCAGCTTGTTGGATCCACCATGACGCAAAGTAAAACTGGCCGGCCTACGCTACGAATTAGTACGCGATCACCTGTTATGCATCTTAGGGACATACGAGGGACATGATTTCTTTCATGGTGCGTTCGATGTGGAGTCCTTCCACACCTTGAACTCGAATCATGTTGCGCTGTGAGGCAAGAGGAGGGAACATGATAAATGTGCCGTTAGTCTCCATAATCTTTCGAACCTTGTCCATTCGTCCAAGTAAAATGCTATCAATCTTGGGAGGTGAAACTACGGCATCCTTAATGAAGAGCTTTGTCCTGTTCACCAGCTCGTGGATCTTGCGCTTGGCTAATTCTATACCTTGAGGATTCTCGCCAGTGATAAATATCTCTTCTGGATTCCGACGACTCGCATTCGGCGGGCAGTAGCGGTGTAATTGGGCGAATGGAGGAAAGTAAATAGCCGTATTAGTAACTGACTCGATCATTTTGATGTTCTTTCGAGAACGGCCGCACACGATGGGGTGCAATGTGCTCTCAAAACGCATGATATCCAGCTGACGTCCAAGCTATACTCCACATTAGTTCCGTTTTAAACATTCGTTACGAATTCGAGGCTCGGAATATACCAATTTGTCAATGAAGATTAGAACCTGGGTCTTGGCGTGTTCCGTAGACTCGATATCTCCGTAGATAGCGACCCTCCACCTTTGATCTCGAATAACCTCGACGTCACCATTTAGGCCGTCGACCGTAGGAGTAAGTTTTGGGCCGAGAATAAAAATATCAACACCGCAGAACACGGCGAAAGTATCTAGAGCATCGGTGACGTTCTTCTGCAGTGCACCAGCTTGAGCATCGACGATCAATCCATAATCTACGTCAACAGTAGTACACCTCTACAATTCTTAGTTTAGCGACATGAATCATTTATCACGTTACAAGTAGAGCCGAGATGTGCATACCAATGCTAAAGGGGTATCGCTCAAGATGGTCTCACGGCTCTTGTGGACGAGTTCCGGAGAACCGGAAAGACACACCGTTGTGACTTGCGACTTGAAACCTTTCGGTACGCTTGAGACGACGTGTGCTTCGATCGGTAAAGGTCCTTTCGTAAGTTCTCTACATAGATTCTGCAGATTGGCTAGGTTCTGAGCGTGGACGGGTAAGTCGTAAACGGGGATATCATCGGGGGCATCTCCTGGGTGCGTCCACCTAAAGACAGCCTCTCCAGTCGCATGCAGTATCTCCTCCGTGTTAGGACCGGCGAGATCGGACGCGAACGGAACGTTAAAGGCGAAGTGAATAGTACTATCGGCGGCAGGCGAGGGACTTAGCGAAGCTCCCGGAGCTCCAGCCTTCTGATGTGGATTTATAGCGGTCATATTCATGTTTGGTCTTGACGACGCGCCGAAGTTGGGGCTCATCCTCTCGGGCCAGTGACGCATGTTGGCGAGCTTTTGCATTGTGAAACCGGGGGGTAAGGAAAGGGCCTAGGAGTGTAATAGGTAAGGGTAATTGAGGAGTTGGAAAATGGGGTATCTCGTGCGGGAAGTTCAAAGAAGGAAGAATGAGAAAGAAATTAGAGAAGAAAAAAAAAAGGAAAGCGAGTAAGGAAGAGAAGTCGGAAACCGGAGAGTGTCGTAGGCGGCGGTTTCTTCTTCTAACCTTTTCTCTTTTTTTTTCTTGTAAAGATGGGCAACCTCTACAACTACTGGCGGGGAGGTTGAGAGAATGAATAGTGAGGAGAAAGTGGAATTGACGGGATGGATGGACGGATGGATTTTGGGACATGAGATGTGGTGGACTGGAAGAATCGATGGAACGAGCCAAAAGCCCGAAGTGTCGGGTGTGTCGAAGCTGCAGTCAGCAGTTTGTAGTTGACCAATAAACATGAAGGATTCCGGGGGAACTGAGTGAGAAAAGCCCTGGGGAGCCCTGAGAAATGTGGTACGTATCTCAATTAGCTTGATTGAATGCCCTGTAATGTTGTGTAGGCTTAGCGCGGTTGGTAGACGGTCCAAACTCATTCCAGTTGTAGTGGGGAGGTAGGAGGGAGGGGGGGGGAAGCACTGATGCACCGTTTGGCGCAAGTTACCTCAGAGCTACGGCAAGTTCTACCGTTAGATTAGTACTTGATTTAGTACTTGCTATTAACAAGCACAGTGGGAAATTGAGTTAACCCTAGCCAACGGTTACATGCGTAATGATAGACAATCAAGTATTAGATCTATATGTACCTTGTACATAGTGGCATAGGTGGTTTCTTCCTGGCGTCATCATTAGCTGTGAGATTCACGTACTGGACATACATATCTACCTACATACAATCAATCAATCAATCTAACTAACTAACTACCTCTTTTCATACTATGTACTTTGGATTTCGATATTAATATATTTCTTTATAATCTATAAGCAGAGAATAATTATCAATAATAGTATGAAAATTGAAGATTACTTTAAACTCAATTATAGGACCCAAGACATTTTTAGAAATGAGTCCTGCCTTGGCTTTATGCTCGTTACTTTTTTTATCAAGTCTAATTGCATTGCTACGTTATAGTAAGTACATGTGATAGACCATATACCAAGGTACGGTTTGATCTCTTTACTCGAAAAGATGAATGTAACATACATGTATACATCTAATACATATATCTATCTAACTACCCATTCATTCATTCATTCATTCAATGTTTCTACTTGACGTTATATATGTAAGTCACTTATATGTATGTCTCTTCAATACTACATACCTACTACTTACTCAAATTTCAATACTTGAATATTCAAATGGTTGAATGGCTATTAGAAGTGGCTATTAAAAAAAAATTGTGGCCCGTGGTTGGTTTCGTGTATGTGCGCTCGAATGTGGGCAACACGAACTTAAGGAATAAGAAACAAGGTAATAAGGTATTATTTGAGTGGTCTGCTTTTGTGGTATACAGGGATGTTGAATTATTAAATTTCATGTCTGTCCTTTCTGTCCTTGGTTAAGTCCTGGTCTACCCGATTTGAGATGTTCGCATGCATTCCAAACAGACATAGCCACGGTGCACAAGACCACAGTTAGCCAAGTACGGTACGCACTTTTCCTCTTATCCCTACATAACAGACGACCTTACGGATCGTCGCCGGACGTAGGTAACCTGGACCTAGAAGCTCGAGCCGACCTAGAATCTGATGGATCACGGCACGAGAAGTACTTCGTATATATCACATATCTACTGCAGTACATACTTCCATACATATCTGAGTTGGCAGATCTCCCGCCTATTCTTCATCCCTTTAATCGTTCCCCCGGATCTTATGAAAAAGAAAAAAAAGAAAGAAAAAATCAAAACCGCAACACGTAGCATAATAGTAGTATCAACTAGGTTTAGTTCTGTGGGGAGACACCGTTTAAACATATGCGAAGGTTACGGAATAACTACTAATCTCCAATTCCCTTTCTCAAGATTTTATTTCACATCTCACCTCATCTAAGCTCACGACTAGGTAGTCTAGCAATAAGCTCGATTCCTCCGAGTTTAGTTCAAACGTCGAAGAAAAAGCGCCACATATTAAGCACGGACGCTGTCTTGTATGTACATTAGCAAGTAGCCTTCGATCGGTGGGTAATGCTACGGGGCGTTCTATATATTGAAATATTGACTCGTATATTTCGGCCTACTGCTATTTTCTCCCTCCAGCCTCCAGCCTCCAGCCTCCAGCCAGCTTACGGTCATTTCTAGCCGTACCGGTACTCTCTCTATAAGGGACATCGGGCTTATCCGGGGCCGCGCGTCTTTACCTTCGCCATCACTACCGAAGCTCCGGTAATTAGCAGTTTATACATACGAGTAGGGCTCCCATCCCATCATAAATTCATAGATTCTTGTTCCTGAGCTATCGTGAAAGAAAGATACTGTTCCAAATCATGCCCTCATCTTCTATTGCTAGCTAGGTACTATCGTGAGTCAATAAAATGGGACGACGGGGGAAAGCAAGCATCAGAGACATTTATTAATAAAGGTAAATCCTACCTAGAATATGGATACTGTTTATTTAAGACCTCTATTCTTAGGCAAAATGTTCCTTAACCTTGACATATTGAATCTGTATAGTAGTCGGCTTATAGGAGAGCGTACTGCCGAGCATATCTCGGCTAACACGCTACAGCTATATTTAAAAGTGATATTAAGAATGACGGGAGTAGATAGATGGTTACAGCACCACATGCACCCATCTTCCTCGCTTATGCAGATCAGAGTTCCTGTCAATCTAAAGTGGAGGATAAACATGCACCACATCGCTAAACTAACGGAATATAGAATGCTATTGAGTATTCTTTGGTAAAAGCCATCTGGTATATTATATACAGTCCATGTAGATAAGCACTTGGCTGCGTCGAGCTTGGTCCCGTGGAGGAGCTCTGCGTGCCTCCACCCATCCCAAGCCACGCCCCTAACCCAACTCCTATTACCCATAGAATCCTCCTCGATACCAACGCCGAGCAGATATTTGTCTTGCTATTATAGTATGATGCCAAGAATCAAGGCAAGTTTCAGCCTTAATTCCTTGGGTAGTCGACTGTAAGACTACCTAGAATTAGAGGGGATCTAATCTCCCACTTAGCCCTCCTCAAAATCAGTTACAATATCGAGTTTGTTGATGTACCACCCCTAGCGTCCGACACGTGTTTATTGGTATACTTGCCTTCGACTATTATCGGCGTACATAATTTCTTGCTGAGGTGCTCGGGGTTGCTCAATATAAGTGACATCCCCCTCTGGGTGAGGTGGCCTATCATAGTAACGCTCTACCGGCTGGATGCTAAACTCGCGCCTGGGCATATCACGTTCCGACGGTCTTGGGCCGAACTCGCGAACAACGGCAGACGCCGCATCCCTTCTTACCTCAGGGTGAACGCTAGCAGCATATCGTCTGGATGGCACCTCGGGTCGTACGGCCTCAACCCTGTTGTAATACGGCACGGACTCCGGCGGCCGGACGCTTGTAGCTCTAGGTAAATAATCCCTTGGCATGTCCTCAGGAGCCCGCCCCATCGGTGCTCCTCGGACCGAAATGAACTCCTGGTTCGGTGCTCCCATAGGTTGTATAGGATAGTCGCGTTCACGATAGCTTCTATAATCAATACCATACTCCGGCTGCGTAATGACACGCCGGGGAGCATATGTGGGCGATGCACGTCGGTAAATGATTCCATCCTCCTCAAAAGTATCTCCAGCCATGCGAGATGGGGCGCGTAGCGGCACTCTTTCGTAGACTAACTCACGCTCGCCTGGTCTTGGGGGTGGTACGACTGAGTGACGCGCAGCAGTGCTAGCACGAGGAGGATCAAAGTACTCGCGGCCATATTGGTCAACTAATATACGAGGTGGGGGGGCAGGAGGTGCCATAGTAGGCGAGCCTCTCTCCACAACGATGGGCGAACGTGATCTAGCACGATCAGTATAAGGCCGTACACTCATCCGTCCATCACGTTGATATGCAGGAACATCCCGGTAGGGAGGGTTTACCGAGTAACTCGCTGAGCGTAGAGGGCGCGGTTCCACAGCACCGTAAGGAGCCGGGTAGCCGTAAGGGGATTGGACTCGCTGGATATACTGCACGATCGTCCCGTCCGGCCGCCGTTCTTCGTATACACCACGATCCAACCTTTGACTCGCCGGGGCGACGGACTGGCGTAATGGCCTTGCATACGGGTCTTCCAGCCTTCCAAGCCCATACGGAGGCCCCTCGGTTGGCACATGCGTGGCAGGATATTGATCGCGGTGTAGCACAGATACTGGTCGTTCGATTCGCGGTTCATCGTACACTAACTCTTGATCATGTCTAGCATCGGATCGAAGGCGCTTTTGAGGACGGACAAACTGAGGCACTGATAGAGGTGAAGGCGATCGCGGTTCGGGTTTGATATAAGGAGATCCTGGGGCATCTGGTGCTCTCATTTCAGCCTTTCTCTTGTTCTTCTTCTTATTCTTCTTCTTGCTTCCTTTATCTCCCTGGGGGGAACTTTCTGGACTTGTGATCACTCCATGCTCCTGCCTTAGAGCTGTAACTTGAGCCGGTGCGCCTGGCAAAATACTAATATCTGGCTCAGGCATAGGGGGCCGCCTAGCTACCGCCAAGGGCGAGACATGAGCAGGCTGGGGAGCGAAGGGCGAAAGATCGTGCGCGCGAACCACAGGTGACTCTCGCTGTCTGAAGTGAGCACTAGGAAGCAACTGGTGGGGGTTATGAATACGGCTGAAGTCAACAGGCTGGTCCGAATCTGTATTGCCAGAGTTGTCGGATCTACTAGCAGCACCACTGTCTGAACTGATGACCTGTGCCTCTACCTGACGTGTCTGGCGTGAATGTACCATCATATCTCCTTCACGGCTAGTTTTTGGGCTGTTATAGACTGCATGATCTTGCACAGACGTGGCTAAGCCGCCAAAGCTCGGCTGGGGCTGGCGGGAACTACTCGCGGTGTGGATGGGTTGTACGCTACGACTAACATCTGTTTGGTAGGACGATGCCGGAGTATGGACGGGTTGAGGAGCAAATTGCTTTTGCTGTAGAGCATGTGCAGCCTGCTGAGAGGCTGCGGCTGGCGCATCTCGCATTTGTACATCCTGGCGTGTTGGGTTCTGAATTCGGGGCGAGGCACGAGAGTCGGGGGTTTCAAGTGGGCTAGAATAGAAGGTATTGTCGTCGAAGGAGTCACTCGCATCGGAAACAGTACCAGCATTAGGAGTATTGGAACCTGGTAGGGGTGCAGTAGCTTGAACCAGTGTTAGTGCTTTTGCTAAAATGTCAGAGAGGTCCAAGTCAGCAGGCTGCTCAGAAGGCTGCAGAGGAGCCTTCGCTAAATTCTTTCGATACTCGAACTCTTCTCTGAGTTCTTGCTCGAGTCTTATTCTTTGCAGCTGGAGATCTGCCTTAGCAATATAATCGGATGTTTGAAGCGAAACAGAATTGGTAACGGCTTTGGTAGAATCTAATGGTCTTGAGACACCTGGAATGGATGCATTAGAACCTGTCGAAGCTACGGCGACAGCTGGCTGCTGCAAGTTTGCCTTGAAGGACTGCATATTGTCCACCTGATATGCATTAAGGTTAGGGGCATTTTTTGTATATGATGAGTGAGTGACGTGATCTTCTGTAAGTGAAGTAGAGTGTTGAGGAGTAATCGGCTTAGCCACTTTGATACGAGGATGCTTCCCAGATACTATCGTATCCCGAAAGTTTATAACCTTCTGATATTCAATAATCTCATCAAGTTCAGCTGGTTTCAGTGCGCCGTTCTGAGCGCCTGGCTGATAGCCTAAGGCTATGGGTTCTCGTGCGATACTGGCTTGAGCCATGGTTTTTTTTTTCTTCTTTCAGTTGGAATCAACTTGTAACAAGAGAACCATCCATAGATCAAAGGTCTAATACCCAGTTAATATTGACAACGAAGAAAATACACGATTACTATTTTGTGATGGAAGACGGGTATCACATAGAAGAGAAATCAGGTTGATAACTTCTTCGTTGCTTTTGCATGAAGTCGAAGAAGGGAGAATGAAAAGACGTGTCGCACAACGGGTCGAGCTCCAGTTAGAACTTTACATATGTAGTAGTAATGTTTTTTTTTTTTTTTCTTTCCCTGTCCATATGCATTTTACATAGAACAATGCCGGGAACTGCACCGTGCATAGACCCACATGTACAACTAAGGTAGGTACGTACAAGTACTTGGGCAAGTACCTACATGTAGCTAAGTAAATAATGTATCTATGTATCTAGGTACCTATATATACCAGCATGCATTAGATAAGCAAAACCTCGGCAACGAACCACTTATAGCTAAGAGAAGATACGTCAATCTATCATATTCTAATTACTTCATCGTTTGCTCTTGCTAGTATGTTTAAAGTAAGGCTAGAGTAGGACAATATGTACACCATGCATGTCTTCGTTTTACCGGTGACTCAAAACAAAGCATAGAGGAGTAGAGCAGCATTAGCACTTATCAATATGTTTAAAATATATTCAGAATAGTCATTATATCAGAAAGAAGAATCGAGTATAAATATTTTCATATTAGTTCTATTTGCCGAGTTTTAATTGTGATAATTCTTTAACTTTTACTTCTTTAACCCGGACTATTCAGGTACCAATTTCCCCCTCACCGTCCCCAACCGCAAACGAGCCAACATCTAATAGCTAAAAGTTTCTCACTCAGCCATTGATTCTTGACAGCTACCTTCAAAATTAGAGAGTTTATAAGAGCACAATATTAAAATAACTACCTAAGTGACTTTCCTCAAGTCAAAACACATTATCCCCCGGAAGCCTTAATACTTATGTCAAGCATGGGATCACAAACCACATCCCCTAATGGGGCAATAGACTCTAGACCTGTTTTATTCTTGTGAGACTATCCTCTCCTAATTACCTGGATATATAGGCTGAGACTAATGATTTAAATAGCGACATTGATAATTGTCTTTATCCCAGAAGTATATCCAGCTCAACATTAAACTGCAGGGAGGGATTTATTTCATACTAATCACCAATTCAGGTGCCAAAGTCCATGATCTAATGGCAGATCTGATAGACAGATACTTTGCGACACATCTAGGCCTTCCAGAAGAAGAAGCCATCAAGCTTCACCAAGAGTACTACCAGAACTACGGTCTCGCCATCGAGGGTCTAGTACGGCATCATCAAATCGATCCCCTGGACTACAATGCTAAGGTCGATGACGCTTTACCTCTCGAAAGCATCATCAAACCTAATCCGCAGCTGCGGAAACTACTCGAGGACATCGACAAGTCCAAAGTGAAATTATGGCTTCTCACCAATGCATATGTCACGCATGGTCAGAGGGTTGTCAGGCTTCTGGGCATAGAGGACCAGTTCGAAGGCCTTACGTACTGCGACTACTCGCAAATTCCTATTATCTGCAAACCGCATAAGGACATGTTTGCTAAGGCGATGAAGGAAGCTAAGATAGAGCGATCCGAAGACTGCTACTTTGTTGGTAAGTTAGGTACATATACACATATCATCTAATAGTAGCTAACTCCACCTAGACGACTCATTCGTTAATGCGCAAGGTGCTCAAAACCTAGGCTGGACATCAGTCCACATTGTTGAGGAGGGACTACCAGTCCCAGCATCCCCGGCATCTAAATACCAGATCAGGCACCTAGAGGAGCTACGAGGGGTATTCCCGCAATTCTTCAAGTCGGGAAACCAAGCTTAAGTAGCATATAATATAGAGCCCGGGGATGGCATACGGCATGGATCGAGGCGTTTTGGTTATATCATCATCAAAAGGAGACAATAGAGTTCTATGTTGTAGAAAATCATAGCTATAGTCTAGCCCATCGCCCTTTTGTTTTATTGATAATTAACGAGAAATTCATAACGATAACCTGAACGCCTAACCGGGGTATCAATATTCTGCAACTCTGCTCCTTATTAGTGTGGGCGTCTGATGCTGCGAATGACTGCGTCCAATTTCGCCATTGTATCTTCCTTCTCCTTGATAGCTTCCTGTCGTTGCGCCTCAGCGACCTTAAGCTCATCCTCTAGCTCCTTGATATTGCGCTCTTGATCCTGTTCGCTGTTGTCGAGGCCGGGAAGTAGGGAGATGAGAAGTTCGATCTGTTGCTCTTTCGTAATAAGGTCTTGGGCAAGCTCTATTTGCGCGGCTTTGAAGACGTCCTCCGGGTGAGGATCCACTGTTCGGATTCGACGGGTTAATATATGGCGGAATAACTAGTTGGATAGGAATATGTGGACATGGATTGGGTTGGGTTGACTTGCCCTCTTCTTGACCAGGCTCTTGCTTTACATCTCTGATTTGATCGTTGGGGCCTAGCGTTTCGAGGTTGTGGTGTCGATTGATATAGTGAATGCATGCGACGAATTGCTGGGCTAGCTAAATTCTCAGAAGTCAGTTATTGTTGGAAGAAGCCAATCTATGAGTAATACTAACCTGATCAACAGCATCTTGTAATTGAGTAAGTCTGTCCCCCATGATAGCATGCTCATGAGCTCAACGTATTGTGTTGGTTTGCGGTTCGGAGCTTACATGCATTGGCATTGGTTGAATCAACAAGGTACAGAATATGGAATAAATGTATATAACAGGGATATGATGGTGGGGCGGCAGATTGCAGTAATAGATGCATATGCTAGGCTAGGTACCTATGTACTGAGAAATACCTAATTTATCGATAAGGAAATATAAGACAGTACGTACCTTTACCCAACAAGCAAACAGACTGAAGAGCTCTTTAGGTACTCTCTCACTCATCCATTATACATAAGGTCTTGGATTAGTGATGGAATGAGGTCTATCATAAACCATCGTCTGATATGGCGCCAACGTTTCTCAACCACTCCACTCATTAATACCGTCTCCTATAAACGCCCATTCAACCACCATGGACGCCCCTTCTCAGACTCAACTCGCCCTTTAATATACCCTGACGCCATAAATAGCGAGCACAATGACCTAGAATCATACGCTACCTACGCTACTCGCACGGGCCTAGATGTCAAGTCTAAGACGTACGTCGGCACGCGGTACGAGTATATCGTAGCCGACTCGCTCGGCACCCTCGGGTTCGATCTGAAGCGCGTAGGCGGGCGCTCCGACTGCGGTATTGACTTACTAGGCACGTGGCATGTTCCCTCCTCCCCAGACCATGCCCTACGTGTCCTCGTGCAATGCAAGGCCTCCGTATCGCAGAGCACAAAAATTGGCCCGCATCACATACGCGAACTCGAAGGTACATTCGCGGGCGCACCCCCTGGATGGCGCAGCGGTCCCGGCCTTCTGGCTTTCCTGGTATCCCAGAAGCCGGCTACCCAGGGCGTCCGCGATGCGATGGCTACCAGTAGCTGGCCTATGGGTTATGCCTTGTGCTCGCAGGACGGCGGGCTGGAGCAGATGTTGTGGAATAGCAGGGCTGAGGAGGAAGGACTAGAGTCAATGGGTGTTACTGTCAGGTTCTCTGATGACACTGCCAAAGAGGCTGGAAAACGGCTGGCTTTAACCTGGAAGGGCAAGCCATATCTTGCCGGACCAGTCTTCAGCAAGTGAATCGGCCCAAGCCTTTAGATGTATATCACGACTAAAACAGGTGTTTGTTAGAAATAAAAGGAGTAAGAAAAATGCTAGTTATTCAACTACAAAAACTTAGGGTATTGAAATATCCCATGTATATAGATCCCCACCATCCGACCATAAGCTATGTACTACCTAGTTAGAGGTATATATAAAGAACTCACGAGAGTCAAAAACAATACTGCTTACCTAGAATGTGCACAAGATGCAGTTACTCTTTGCCGATACAGATAATTATGGGATAAACACTATAGCATCATTCCAGATAGACATAAAATATTAGAGACCCTATATTAATCAGGTTTTCTTGAAATTCATATCCTACACAGATAAACCTAAGGTCAAATTTGAGTAAGTGTTCAAAACACAAAACACAAGAGACCATGAGAACCACGAGCAAAGCACCTTTGCCTATCCAATATACACCAACGGTTACGTACGGAAGCGCTCTCTGGACACCACGTATAGACAAGACTACCCGAGCCGAACCGAACCTAAACCAACCCATCCCATGTGCCACCCCCCACCTATCCTACAGATGAAGCATAAGCGGAATCGAACCCTAAATCCACATATATCTTAATTCCTATACCTAACCCCTACAACCCCCTTCAATCCTCCCAAATCGCTACCTTCGCCCTTTCCGCCTCCTCCAGCCTCCTCTTCTCCGCCTCGCGTTCCTCCTCCCTCCTTCTCCGCTCCTTTTCCCTAACCGCGCGATCGTACGCACGCTGCTCCTCCGTCGCCCGCGGCGCCCGCACCCCCAGCGCGCTGGCAATCATGCGCCGGGCCACCGCGTCCGTCTTCTCGGGCCTCTTGCCTTCGGTCCCCGAGCTCTCGCTGCTGCCCCCCGATACCGCGCCGGGAATGGACTGCCAGGGGGGCGGCGTGCCGGAGCTGTATGACGGCGAGCTGGGCGTCGGAGGGGGCGCGGCGACGCCCGAGCCATCGATCTTGGGGTCGGCGGAGGGGGAGAGGGGAGAGTCACTGGGGAGGGGAGATTGCGGTTCCGTGTCGGAGGGCACCTCTTCGTCTTCCCAGGAGTCGGCTACTGGGGCTGCTTTCTTTCCCTTTGGTTTGCCTTTGGGAGCTTTGGAGGCGGGGTTGAGGGATAGGTCTGACATTGCTCGCGTGGCCATGGTGGGAAGACTGGGGAAGTCCGATGGGAAGTACTGGGTGATAGTGTTGCTTCTCTCTAGAGGTAATGATTATTCACAAGACCGGGTACTATTAGGTAGATACGCTCTTCCCGAAGCTTTTCGTAGGATTATCATCGACAATTCGAAGTTCAATAGAATGGAAGGTAGCAATCAGCGGCACGGCTTAGTTGCAGCGAAGGGTACGTGGTGTTGGTATACGACGGGCCCAATTGCTACCATAGGTACCTAATGTATGAAGGGAGCCGAATATGTAAATGTGCGATCTGCTCGGAAAGTCGATCGAGGGTAGCAATTGCAGATTACCTCACAGCAGGAAGGTTGGACTGACGTATGCAAGTCTGGCCTGCTGTGAGACGAAAGCCTCGGGAGCTTGAACCTAGATCATCAAAGGTGGGGCTAATCGATCCACTTCCCCGCAAATCTAAATCTTGCACGGACTAGGCGCATGGACCTTTACTCATTGCTCTTCTTTTAAGAACATTAGGTACACATATGTATCGTAAGCATTGAAACACACAGTTGTCATTATGTGATGCTATGAGCTTTTCTTGTTATGAGGGGTATTTAGTATTTACCAACTACTATATCTTTAAATATTAGTTAAACATTATTAGAGAACGGCATGAAAATGGATGACTGGGCTATGAGAGGTAGCGTTAAGTTATACAATTATTTAAGAATTACTTCCATTTATTGATATAAGTCAAATGTGTGTATTAATAAAGTCCTATCAGTGAAACTAAAAATATGAGTCTACTTCTGGATATAATCCTGTCTGTATGAGTTGGGAAGATAGTTCGATGGCATAAGAGAACGGCACAACAAGGGGTAAAGTTCATTAGAGGTACTACTTCCGACTTGGTTGGAGTAACGCGGCAAACATTCCCGTGTCGGGATATCACGGCTTCACGGACCACATAAACACGAACAAGTAGCTTTTCATATATCTTCATATAGATCTACACCTACGCCTCGTAGGGCATCTACCGCCCACTTGGGGTAATTAGCTTGATCAGGGTATAAGTTCGCGAAAAAACGCCGCAGGAAAGCCGGATACCTGTCGGCAATGATCGCTTCCCTGACCTGCTTCATCAGGTCCAGCTGGTACCAGACATTGTGCATGGTTAGTAAGTGCGCAGCTACCGTCTCTTTAGCCGTGTTGTGGTGCACGAATGCCCGGGTGATGCCCATCCCGTCCTTGCGGCAGCAATTACACCCGCAACCATCTTCTATAGGTCCGAAATCGTTGGCGTATTTGGCGTTGCGGAGGTTGAGGACGCCGTATTTCGTGATTGCATTTCCGAATCTAGCTGTGCGCGTGGGCCAAACGCAGTCAAACATGTCGGCTCCTAAGGCAACGCTGACGACGAGGTCCTCGGGGTACCCAATTCCCATCACATACCGAGGTTTCAGCTCAGGTAAGAGCGCGGTACAAGTAACTACTACTCTGCAGTAGTCCGCCTTTGCCTCGCCACCGCTTAGTCCACCGATGGCGATACCCGGTGTATCTCGAGCGACCATCTCCTTACAACACTCCCTTCGCATATCGAGGTCCAGTCCGCCTTGGATAATGCAGAACAGATTCTGCGTAGTTGGATTTTTATGCGCGGCGATGCACCGATCCAACCATCTAACGCTGCGCTCCATTGCTTCTCGCATCCGCACGGCGTCTGGTGAAGTAGTCACTAATACGTCGTCTAGCTGCATTAAGATATCGCTGCCGATGGTGTTCTGAAGAGAAATGGAATGCTCAGGTGTAAGAAGCATCGGTGTGCCGTCATGAGGACTCAGGAATCTGACACCCTCTTCTGTGATATTGGCTAGCTTGAGTAAGCTAACCATCTGGAATCTATTTATGACAAGTCAGCCGTCAAGTTTTCTTTTTTTTGGCAAGCTAGACTTTCTATATTATAAATAACATACCCTCCGCTATCTGTGAGTAGGTTGTAGTTCCATCCTTGTAGTTTATGTGCCCCTCCGACTGCAGCGAGCACCTCCTGTCCAGGCTTTAGGCCTAGATGATAAGTATTATTTAGACATAGACGACAGCTGGTCTCTTCCAACTGTTCTGGAGTTAACCCTTTTAATGATGCCTGTGTTGCCACAGGCATGAAGACCGGAAGTTGGACTGGTCCATGAGGAAGGGTTAATATAGAGGCTCGTGCTCGAGTTGTCTGGGTGTGGTCAGACTCAGTCTTGAAACAATATCTTATATTTTATGCTCACTTACGGAACACCTCGCGACGAGATCGAACGTGAGAGCCGCTGAAGACGATGAGGCTATAACGCTAGCCATCCTGCTCAACATCAACACCAAGTAGATGAAGTATTTACAGATTTACTGATAGAACTTCTACGTCATAGGATGAGTAATGAAGCAAGGTTCATCGGTCCCTGACTTATTAGTAAGTGGGGTTAATTGCATGAGGCTGCATGCGGAAGTTGTTAATTAAGCGGTCGAGTTTATGGTCGAGTTTAATCGAAGGGGGTTTACATTTTGGAAATTGGCTTCCGTTTTCATCCATATCCACTTAATGAGAGGCCATAGGCCATAGGGATAAAATTTTACTTTTTTTATTGAATGGCCCGTGTGTCGTCGGTATTTCCTTCTGGTCCCGTCTCGACCTATAATAGCTGACCTATCGCATTTCACCGATTTCACCGATTTCTTTGTACTACATTAGGTACATTCACTTACAGGCTTTTCTCGGCAGCGGTATGCCTGTTTCAGCTATAATTGTATTAGTGGCTTAAGATAAGTATATCGGTATAGCGTACCTAATGTATGACAAGAGATACGCGAATGTAGGTATAATGATAGTTGAGAATAGAAGGAGGTTATCTTTCTTCTATATTATATGTGTATATTTCAATCTACATATTCATACTACGACCTTATCACAAGAAGTTATTGGGCAGAAGTCAGATCGTACCGCGGTAACATCCCTTATTTTTGATGCCGGTAATAGGCTCTTTCCTTCTTTTAGTAGGGATGTCCCCAGTAAAATAATCCCCCCAGCACTTTTTTTTTTATCTGCTTTGCCTTCTACAGCCCTTTCCCACAAAGCCTCGTGGCCCCCAGCAAATTCCTCCCCCCCAGTCGCGGGAGAAAAAAAATAAATAGTGGGCTGTGGCCTGACAGACCCTGTAAGTAATTCCGAATTCGGGAGCGATCGGGCATAAACTACCAACGACGCGGCTCCTCTTTGAATTGCACCTGGGCTAAGCTGCTAAGGTAAGAAACATTTTTTTGTCACCTCCTTCTTCGACCTACCACCAAAATCATACGATCTTGACATTGTTGTACATTTTTTGGTCATTTTTGGTCATTTTTGGAAGGGGACTCGGCCAGTCCACCCGCCTTTTTCTCCTGTATCATCCTTTATTTTCCTGTCGAATGAGACGCTAGGGCGTAAAAAAGACGCTTCTGGCCTTTATTTTTCTCACTTCTGTCTCATTATCACAATAGAAATTTTTAGTAACCTAGGTTATTATGGACCTGTTTGATCTTGTGGTACCTGTCTGTGGTACCTGTCATCATAATATGTATCTTTTTTAGGCGTCGACGATGTTCTGTGCGTCTTGTGCTCCGAGATCCTCCTTCGTTTACACGCTATTTTCAACCCGCAAACCCGCAATCCGCAAGATTCTCCCCGGCTATATCTCGTTTCTCACGAGATGCATTCCCCATTCCTATCTACGTATCGGCAGATATAATAATTGCTTATATTTCTTGCGTCATCTTGACCCCAGAAAGACCGAGCTTAAGTGAGCTGCAAGTGAGCTGCCTCACTTGGCCTTTCGGTCGGTTTACGGTCTGTTGTCGGTATGTATGTATGTATGTGTAAAACCTGGTTGATAGGAGATTTATCGATCATCAGCTTGGCAATTCGTTACGTTCAAGTGCCTAGACGATCTACTTCCTTGGCACCTTTTTTTTGTATTTGTATTTGTACAAAGCTGTGCCCAATCCAGTGTCACAGGCCGCAGAATTGCATCGCAGGCCCTATGCGACAGGGAACCTGTCTTTGTTCAACGTACTTTGGTATTTTCCCTTTAGTTTTGGGTCTTGGGCCAATGTGGATTTTTAATTTGAATTAAAGCCCTTTTCCATGTGGCTTGGCCTCCAATTCTTCATATATACCTGACTCATCCTACCCGTACTACTATGGTAATTTGATTCCCCAGATATCGTAGCTTTGATCTTGTAGTCGTGTTTGGTATTGTCATCCGTTCATCATCATCATCAACCCATCACTCTCTACCTTATGAGCTTACAGGCGATGTCGGACCAGGCCTCATTTACTCATTTATCTCTGTTACCTACCGAGTTAAGGCTCCAGATATGGCGGCATACCTGTCACCAAAGGGTAGTCGAAGTCTTATACGATAGCGAGGCTGACTTATGTACATCATCAACGGTGCCGCCGGCCGCCCTTCACGTCTGCAGAGAGTCCCGATTTGAAGCCTTAAGAATTTATAGGAGATCTTTCGGCACAAAGTCCCACGAACCAAGGATATATTTTTGCCCCGATATAGATATACTCTACCTTCCTCGACCTCCTTTCATGGGCTATGACGACGCCTTACGGTCTTTTACGGAGCTCGTTTCCGGCATCGATGATACTGTCAACCTTGCCCTCGATTATGTTAAGCCTGATATCAGACGACCATGGGAAACCTACAACAAGTACGCCTTAATGCAGAGCTTTCCCAAAGTGAAAGAAGTCGACTTAGTTCTGGGTCCCGACTCACCGGCAGAAGAACATGGCCACGAGGATATAGGACTGGTGGATCCGACAGGAGACATATTAGCCTTATGTCGCCTACTTTCCGACATTAAGGAATCATTCTTATTCGAAGTTGGTTCCAATTACACGATTGGCGACACAAAAGAGGAATTCTTCGAGTACCCTGTTTTGCCTCCCCTGGTCTTGAAGTCGAAGATTACTTGTGCTCATGCCTAACTTTAAAAGCCAGCTATAGCTACGCCGGAAAAGTCATATTGTATTCACTGCGTATTCTACAAATAAGACTAGAAGTCTGCATTGTAATGCAGGAGCTTTACTTCGTCGAGGCTGACTAGAGCTTTCTGTTAATGAACATATACTTAATGAAATATAATTTATCAATACTCTTATACCGATTGTTCATAATCGCCATCTTATTACGGTCACTGTTGGTCTTCGCCATAATGTCTGAAAATAACATTATTCTATGCGGTTAAATGAATTATTCGCTATCCGACTGTCAACCGATATGACCAACCTCCTTTTCCAATACAAGAATGGAATGCCTTAACGGATTCCCAGGTGCAAGCCTGTCCAATTCCCATCTAAAAACTGCCCAGGTATGTATTCTCTTAGTGATTTCATAATGACGAAATGTCTATCACTAGTCAGTTTCGGTGTTCTTGGTCCGGCCAATAGACATTCTAGACTGCTAACGCTATACTAGCTTATACATGGATATATACCTATATATATATATATATAGATATCGCTGGCTCTCGACAAGTCTATGACAAGGGCGTTGCCAGGTCATACGGATATGTCAAGGCTGAAGGTTAAGGTCGTGCGGATAATCAGCTTTGATTAGGTACCTATGTATGAGGGGACTCATCAAGGGTGTCGGATTACGGCTAGGGAATGATTCGGAGGTATCGTTATATGTATCATCGTATACGCTGATATCAACGACCGCGTAAATACGGAAATCGTTGCATTGGCCAGGATATCCCCTTTGATTGCTATAGACTCGCTTTTTTGTCTTCTCATCGACATAATCGCAGTTATAGTGTGTGCTGCCAAAGGCCCACAGCTTTACGGCATCTGCTTCAAGCCACAGGGGCTCCTTTGCCAAGTCGGACGTGTATCGGTACTTCATGCCCTCACGATCTACCGCTGGAGATTGCCCTATAGCTTCGGTATTTATGGTCGGACAATGATGTGTGAGGATGATGATAGAGCGTCCAGGGTCTTCGTGTGTAAGTGCTGCAACTTCATGCGATAAGTAGGACATGGTATTGAAATGGGCGAGCATGTGTTTTCTAACATCGTAGTCAGTCCGTACCTCGTTTCGATAATAAGCATCGGTGCAGTGTCGTTGACCACGAGGTGGATGAGTGAATAGCGTTGCTCCGAGAATAGTAACCCTCTCATTAGGTATGTCATATCTGCTGTTGTCAAGAAAAACGAAATCCCCCAATTTCGTATTTGGATTTTTCCTTCTCGTTTGTACGTGATGGCGAAACTGGTCGACATATTCTCTGACCGTCTCCTAGGTTGATCCATTTACCTCTCTAGGGCCAAGTACGTAAAAGACGGCTTTGAATTGGAAGAGATGGCGTTCGATGAATCTCAGATACTGCGTACTGTGGGAGGCGAAGTTGCCGATATCTCCTAGAAGTGCCAGATACGGGGCTTCCGGAGGGATATTAAAATGTCCATAAGCCTCGTCGAGCTCTAAGTGGAGGTCTGACATGATCTGTATTCGGACCATCGTGACGGCGAATAGATTTTTGTATACGACGATACTCCGCCCGTGCTGATATGGTCTATATTAACAGGTAGCTAATTAGGTACCTAATGAATCCAAAATGCAATATTGATGTGGTGGGCTCGTTGAGTGGCTGCTACGTCTTGAGAATATTTATTGAAAGGCCGTGTATGTTAGGTATGTATAAGCAAGCTTGGGACTTTGTAAGATTTACTTCAGGATTAAGAAACTGAGAAGTCTTCAGCTGCGAAACACATGAATACCTAATATAACTATACTTTCCTTCCATCTTTACTTATCATCGATGTAACTTGCCAATATTGAGTATATGTGTGAAAGAGCAATAATAGTTACACTTTCTCTGACTGCCTAATATATAGTTAGTTATACCTTAGGTACCTAAATATGTATAAAGATATGGGTTTAAGGTAGGTATTGAAAGATGCCTGCCCAGATCAACGATAGAGTCGATTTAGGAAGGAAAGCACACGGAAAATGATACCTTCATGACAAGCAATAAATGATGAGCCAATGATATAATATTTAAAGTAACTGAACTTGGGAGAGAAAGTACATCATGTACGATCAGCCTAGACTCGAGAGACCCCTGAATAGATGTACCTGCCATCAGGGTAAATGTGGGGCGAGAACCATGCAATTAGCCGCACTTGCAGATAAAGTTTCGTGGAGGGTGAAGATACCTAGCTGCGATATGCCCCGCGATTTGACTCACACCTAGGTACCTAGGTTAGGTACCTACCTTTACCTAAACTTTTTTTTTAAAAGAAAAGAACCTACAGATACTTCCATTTTATAACACTGCTAAAGACAAACCATCTTCGCCATATTATTTTCCTTCTTCTTGCTTGAAGCAAAACCCGGCATTATTGTAGTGCGCCTAAATATGGCTACAATGGCTACAATGGCGACCACCATCAGCCAAAATGAGATACCTATTCGCAACAATCCGGATCTGGAGTCCTTCGAGTAAGCTTCCCAAATCTTCCTCTAAGCCCGACCAATCCCCTCTACCAAAGCGACAAGTCTAACAATGACCCCTTACCGTCACCAGCATAGTTAGCACCTACGAGAAGCTCCTTGCCGATGACCCGGAGCTCACAATGCCGGTAGCCGCAATCGAGGCACTGATCGAGGCGCTCAGCCAGTCGTCGGCCAAGACCGTCTTTGAGACTATGGATCTCATCAAGACGCAGTCGGCGAAGCTGCGCGGCGCCGTGCGCAATCCCGTCGCCCTGACCCACGGTACCGATCTCTTCCAGCAGTACCTCGTCCTGTCGCTTAAGCAGCCCGGCCCGGACGGCAAGGAGACTAGCAGTCACGAGAACTTCGAGGTCGTGCGCCAGCACCTGATGAAGAACGGAAGATTGTTTGCTCAGCGCGCGAAGCAGGCCCGCGAGCAGATCGCCACCGTTGGACGCGCGTATATCCGTGACGGGAGTACCATTTTGACGCATGGGGGCTCGAGAGTGGTGGGCACGTTGTTGGGGAGAGCGGCGGAGTCTACTACAGGGGATGCTCGGAGACGATTCAAGGTTATTCACGTCGTTAACGAGGCCCGACGGACTGAGAGCTTGAGAGTGGTAGCTGCCCTAAGGGCAAAAGGCGTCCAGGTTGCGACGATACCCGAGTCTGCGGCTGCGTATACAATGGGTAAGGTTGATATGATTATCGTTGGTGCCGAAGCAGTGACCGCAAACGGCGGGGTTATCTCGAGAATGGGAACGTACCAACTTGCCTTACTAGCCAAAGCCCGCAATATCGACTTCTTCGTTGCTGCCGAACAACACAAGTTCGGCAGGACGTTTCCCCTAGACCAATTCGACCTTGGCTTCGACCAGGGCATACTAGATTTCCATGCAAAGGACCAGGAGGAAGGTGACAAACATGCACAAATAAATCCAGATCCCGTGGATTATACAGTACGTTGAGATATCCTACTATTGCTGTTTTTAAGCATCCGTTTGCTAATATTCACAACGTAGCCGGCGGAATTTATCACGTCATTCCTCTCAGACTACGGCGTCCTCACACCAACAGCTGTGGCCAAGCAGATTATAGATCTGTTGTATTGAGGTTCAGCTGACTTCGCGGTAAAGTATTTTGCAAGCCTGGTTTTGCACTGCGCAAGTTTCATATCGCAGGTGTACATACCCTATGACGAGACGGGATACGGGATTTGTTGCCAACATGTCCTATCAGCTTTTGGCTACGTGTCACAAGAAATTGTTGTTTACACGGACTTGGAGTTCAGTGCGCAAGCCCTGGCATTTCTTGTAGACTAAGTAATTATATGCCTTACAACGGTTACCCTCATAGGTAGGCGCATTGTGTAGGGGGCTATTATGGCATTTGATCTCCTTGGTCCGGTGGAGATGATAGAACATTGCAACCCACGGGAGAGCAGATACTACTAGCACATATCATGGGCTTAGGTAGTGTACACATTGACTACGATGGACGATTATCATGCTGTATGAATCGCATGATGCCCTGATTTAGCATAAGGGTAAACAGAAAAAGCCAAAAAAAAAAAAAAGATCAGACACGTTTATGAGACCAACGAATAAGATTGTGACTGCAATAGGAAACTCGTAATTTAAATGAGTGAGTACCTGCTTTTGCCATTTTAGATACACCGGTCCAATGCAAAGTTTTCCCCCTTTGGAGATATACTGGCAATATCCACATACCCCCACCTTTTCCTTCCTTATTGAAAGGACGTTTCTTTCTTTCCATATTGCGTTCCCGTAGTAGGAGGGATTTCTTATAGACTGATACTGTACTGTGCTGAGAGGATAACTGGTTGACTGCAAGTTGTTGAGCGGATGTTGAATCCGCTCTAGACGCTGAGGTATATACACCATTTTTGGTGTAAGAGTGAGTGGAACTTTGACTGAATTTTCCAGTTGTTGGAACTGGGTTTATGTCCTGAACTACTGTCTCACTAGCTGGCTCCTTTCCTAGAGGTCGCGGACGAGTCTTGCGCCGACCCAAGCGTACAAGTAGTTGCGTTGATACCAGTTTACACTAAAATAGACCGCTTATTAGTATTTGCCTAGATTTTGTAGGAGGACCACAATGTGTATAGACGAAAAATGAATTTATAGAGCGAGAAAACCAAAGGTGTTGTGAGAATATAACATACAATGTCTTCCTTCCCGCAATACGAGGGTGGGTGGCCCAGGACCCGCCAAGTACAATATTGTGCTTCTCGTCAAAGAAATCGGCTGCAATTCCTATTAGTATATTGTTATGAGATTTTGGAAGAATATTTTATCATACCCGTGTACCCCGGATAGAGAGCCAAAGGCTGAAAGCCTTCGTGCGGCCGGAGTGGGGAGCTGGTCCACTCCCATACGCCTCCCATCTCGGCTTGGCCCGCTAGGCGGTTGCCGTGAGCGGTCACGGCCACGGGATGCCAATGGCGGAAGCCCACATTAGCATCGCTAAGGTCGATGAACAATTCGTCATTTTCAGATGAACTGCCATCGACGGCCCGTGTAGTGCTTGATGGTGGAGTTTCCTCAACGCCGTCATTGACCAAATGGCTGGACACATTATAGTTAGCCAGCATTCACCGCCCCTATATCATAGGAGGAGGACTTACGCATTGACTGCCGGGACAGTGCTGCCTAGTTGGCGTTCTGCTTCTTTCCTCTTCATGTTATCAACGTAAGAGTATATGCTCCGAGCCTCCTCAAACGTAGGGATTCGACCACCTAACCAAGCAGCACACCCCGAGAGCTCATCGTAAGATGCAAGTACCGGCCAATCGAGCGCATACTTAAGCGGTACCAACCCGTAGACAGTACGCACACTCTTACCTTCCAAGAATGACAGAGGAACGGCTTGCTGGTCACCAGCTTCGTTACTGTGTCCGTTACTATGGCCGTTTGTTTCCTTGACTTCATGGCCATTAAGGCCATCATTATGGCTCAGGCTTTCGTTAGCCCAAGAGGCAGGGGGTTTTGCTGTCTTGGTATTGTACAGATATAGCGCGTACTATAATAAGTTAGAAAGCTATCTCTTCTTCAGCGGCAATGAAACTCACCTCCTCGTTGGTAATGGGTCTTCCTTTAGCTTGAAAATTGTGTACTAGTACGCGTCTAGGCGGCTTCTCATTGTCCCTATGAATCAATTAATATAATTCTCGAATTAAGTCGTGCTGGTATAACCGACCATCCGAAGTGATCAGTTGAGTTTTGTACATGATCGGGATCTTCGAGTCCAATTGTGAGTTCTTGCTCAGGTATATCAAACCAATCATTGCTGACTCTCGCCGTGTAGGCATCTTGAGCTAGAGCTTCGAAGTTCGGCCTCTTTGTATGAGGCGGCGGGAGAGTCTTGTCACTCTGTAGCATCATATAGAGTAGTGTCTCCAAATGCATGATTTCGTGCTCAAAACCCACCCATATAGCTCTTCCGACATTTCTAGGAATATTCTCCAGACCAACGGAATAGATGCTTCTTAGCCTATCTCGTACCCGTTCCTGGTATTCTATGATGTCCTCGACGGGTGGCCATTCGTCTGGAATTTCCGAATGTTGATGACAGATTTCCGGGTTATCAACGTCTGGGTCTATCCCTCGCTCGAAGATTGAGGAGTAGAAAGCTGGTCCCGTAAGAGGATTCTTGGTGGTTTTGGTCAATTGAATATCAAGGAACGTTGGGGTATGTCCAAGGTAGAAAATGCACGCATTCCGAAGCTTGATGGGCTTGTCTAATAGCTCTTCGTTAGGCAACATGCGCCTAGTGACGATATCCCATGTATCCCATAGACCCTCAAAGTCCCCTAGAGACGGGATATGAGAACGGGCATATTCCGAAGGGTTAGGGCTAAATGTCATGTTTGGCTTGGTTAGAAGATGAAGACCTGGTAAGCTATTAGTTTAACCTGGTTTGACATCCACTCGAAAACCTACGGGGGTTAGGGCCGCCCCGCATTTAAAAGCCACGATAGATGTACGCAAGGATACTACAGGCATGCCTTAAAGACGGCAAGGTCTCCTGACCTGTCTCACGTGGACTACTTGCTGCATGGCATCTTAAAACGTGGAGTGGTTCCTGTTTATTCGTAGGATGGGATGTGACGGAAGTAGGACAAAACCCCATATACCCGGGGTTGGACAAAGAATTCGTGGTCCACTCACCGTAGTCTTCTTCTTCGGTCATCCAGCGATCAGCTTCGATCATGCCCGCAGACCGCCATAAATTCCTGCAGCCCTCTTCCGAGTACTTTAGACTCTGTTCGACTTGAATACGTTCCTGGGCCTTGACCGTCTCCCCTAAGATTATGGTGTCTCGTGGTGGCGAGTAGAACGCTTGGTGGCGTCCTCCTTCGATATCATAGACGTATTCACCAATGACCTGCCAGTCATCTAGGTCAAATGCCTTATGTCCAAGGACCTCATTTGCATGAGAGAGTCCGTTCAGGAGGAACCTTGGCCAGTCAGCACAAGGAGAAGCCGGAAGGATGTATGCATTGCGTCATTCTTAACTGACCTATGCGTGGTGCCGTGTCTGTCTTGAGAGCAGCATATAGGGTTCAGTATAGCTCAATGTGGATTTTCAATAATACTAACCGTTATATGCGTGACTATTGTGTTGGGCGTCAGAAGCCTGATAACTCTTCAAGTGTGAGCATGGTATGGGACGTTCCATGACTTACTAGACCTTGGAAGGATCTGTGCAGGAGTCCAACCCAATCAGAAAGCTATCCGCTGGCTGGAGAACATCGGCGAAACCTCTCAGGAACGAGGCTGCTTCGTCCCGGTGGAAGTTACCTATTTAGGCTGGTCAATTGCAAGGGATCTGATTTGGCGTCTATATGTATACGGAATATGCTCGAGTTCGTACCAATGCTAGACCCGAGAGATAAAACGCATTTTCGCTTGGAGGCGATCTGCGGCCTCCTTAACCATTCACGGCCGTCATCGTATGTTCCTAATAATCCGTGACACCGGACGTGACGGAAATTTGGGACCTGAGCCAGAGTTCTTGACAACTCATCTTCTGACAAATCAAGAGCATAATAGTCGATCTTCTTGCCGGCGTCGTCGAGAGCTTGAAGTAAAAGAGCAACCTTCCTCAAGTTGCTAGCCAAGAAGGTCAATCAATATTGCCACCGAGTTACGGAGATGATCCTATATAACTCACCCGCTACCTAACTCGAGCACCAAAGATCCGGACGGAATTGACTTAGCAATGGCAGCAGCCGAACGCCGCAAGACTTGGATCTCATAATTTGTTAAATAGTACTCTTCTAAATATGTGATCTAATGTTCCCGTCAGCGTGAAAGTGATGAGTGTAACTATTGTTCGTCTAACCTCTTCAAACAGCTGTAGACCTTTCTCGTCATAGAGTAGCAAGGTCGGTAATTTCCGGGGTCCCTCCTGAGGGCGCAGTAACTTATGGATTTCCTCTTTTAAGTTAATTTCGACGGCGGTTTGCCGTATGTCGGTAATATCAACATTTGGTCGTCGTCCCGCGGTTAGACTAGCATCCTTTTCTAACTTGTACTCCGGGTTGGGAAACTGAGGTTCATACGGTGACTCGACAATAGATGGCATAGCTGTAGCTGTAGCTGCTGCTGGCTGATGATGATAAAATTGCCTTATTACACAAGAGATGATGGCTGCAAAGCTTAGAGGGTAGTTTCACGTTTCTGCAGGGGTGAGGATATCGTAGGTAATATATATATATAAATTTCAATTGGGACGGCTGTAAAAGTCTGAATGGCGTAACATGAGAGTTACAATACAGGAATATGTATCTACTTAGACCTAGTACAAAAAGCATATTGTGAGATGAGAAGCCGGACAAACCTAGCTGCGAGGCCACATTCTCTGCCGCTAATAAGGGGAGCAAGGGAACAAGGGTAGAAATGGTGATGTCAGTCGGGGACTAAGAGTTTGGTCCCAGTCTGGATGTGGTGGGACTAACGACGAAGTTCCCAGGTACGTCAGCCCTAAAAGCGTCCGAGCAAGCTGCATCCACGGCGGCCATCCTGGATATACTATTTGACTACCGCGATATGTAATGTATTGTATGTATGTACGTAGGTTAGGCTATCGTATGTGTGATCCGAGGAAAGGCGTGAAAATGCGGATGGGGCTCGTATCTATCCACGCTGCCACGCCGCCACGCCTTTCTTACGGCAGGATGATACGGTAATTCGGGTTGCCAAGAAGGGTCTTGGGAAGGGGTCTTGGGGCGGCATGTAAGTGAGTGTCCCGGAACTTGGATAGTTGAGAACTGAGGAGTCAGAAATTGTTTTGTCATAAAATGCTGCAAGTTAAACTAGACCATAATCATGAGAGTGGGATGTTGAAGGAGAATAACAAATCACGGGCCAGAATAGGGAGGACGAGGAAAAGCTACGGCTGTCCCGGCCCCGCAATGAGAAACCTTTTGAAGTGGCCAGTGCATGCAATCGTATCAATCATATCAATCGTATGGTACACCCGCACTACTACCCCTAGTCCTTACCTTAGGTGCCGGGTTAGGGTACCTACTTTGGTTAGGTACCTGAGTAGTTCTTGTTCAACTTACATTAGGTAGGTAGTCCCTACATACCGTATCATGTTGTGCGACAAGAACGCTGCAGGCGCCCTCGCCGTCCCTTACCTACCCTTACCTACAGGTAAGCTACCACGGGTGTACCTTGGTTCGGTTCCGGTTCCTGGTAGACGTTTCCTTACGGTGAGAAAACTAATACGGAGGTAATTTTTTTTGTCTTATTATCGGTCAGATACATGTACCGAATATTTGATACGGGAATATCTATACACTCACTACCTACCTATACACTACCACAAGCAACATTCGGAATGCATTAGTATATTAGGCATCGGGCCTTTATTTTGCAAGGCATTAATAGACCTTGTCTATATATTAATACTTACCTAGGAGATAGATATATATTATGTAAAGGAACAAGTGATGACGCATGTTCAATCATTATTACATTGGGACAACGCAAACCAAAACTCTTCCATCCCAATAGTATGATGCAGTACTACCTGGGGGACACTTGGTTGATATTAGGGATGATTGATATTGGACGTGACTTACCTAATATATATACCAAATACATTATATAAGAGGTAGATGTATATGTATATAAGCAATAATATATTGGTTGTTTAATAATATCCCAATCATTTTTAAAGGAAATCCTAGTTATTCGGTTTATAGCATACTTACCTACATAAGTACCTAGATTACCTTTATTCATACATAGAAATATACCTCCGGGCCGAGATGTTTCTCGCTATCTACGTCACCTATATGTGACCATGACCTGACGATCTTTACCGAAACTCTCCCCCCACTTTACCCCTCAACAACCGAAAGAGCCTCCCACACACGTGTAAGTCTATATTTGGCGATAAGCGACAAAGATTTATAGCGTCATTTACGGCCGTCGCAGCGTCTCGCGAAATGCAGCATTACATTAGGGAGGTGGCATTGATAGACGGCTGGCCAGCTGATCATGGGGTACAGCTCACATGATTTCTAAATTGACCATTACCTAGTCTTTGCCTAACCCAGCGGCCTGCATCTTTTGTGTTGAGCTTTCCGAACTTTCTATTGCATCTTCTTCCTACTTAATGGTGGGACAGTGCCTGGATGTAACCCCCGACTGCACGTCAATTGTGGGGAAGTACTTTCCCCGTGACACCCCCAGAGAGTTTTTTGTAGCTTTTGTAGCTTTGTAGGTAACTTTTACGGTCAAAAGTACCGAGGTATCTGGTCCCTCTTTACATCCCGTCGGGCAGGTTTTTTTCTTTCTAGATAGTAAGCAACCCGAAGAGAAGAAAAGGGAGTGAACACCCCATATGTTCTTAATGGAGCGTCTCATTCTTATTTATTGCAATGCGACTTCATCATCTTTGACAGGCTTCAGTTTTTCCGCGGCACACTCGGCCACCAACTCAAAATTTACATAGAGCAGCAGAGGTGAACCCTCCAGTCGAGCCAAACCTTCGGTCTAAACTTTACTGGAGCACATGAGCGACTTTCGAGAGTGGCAATTATACCTGAAGGGAAATAAGGAGGGTTGGAATAAGTTTATGGAGGGTCGTCGACCCTTAAAAGACGTTAGCCTCAATTTCGAAGAATATCAGCTGGCCCGAAGCTAGCCAGCATTGAGACGGTAAGGCATTGATCATGGGATGCAATTTACGACTTGTAATTTTTTGAAATTCATAATCTGCTCATCTTTCTGGATAGTTACCTGGCATGCGTTTAATCTAACCTTGGTCCGTTTTTAGGTTATCAGAGATTGGCATTGGGTTGGGCTGACAAAAAGAGAAACTCAGCTTGGATGGATTATGGTGTGGTGATTTCTTACCCTATGGGTTATTGTACGAGAAATTCGGCGAAACTTCCCTTGATGCGTTCTTGGTAAATTTCCCTGGGGTGAAAAGTATAGAGCGTGAGGAGCACAGCGTCATGTATGCAATATGAGCAGAACAAGTCAAGAGTTGAGCAACTGTTCGGGAATATATACGATATCTGTTGGCTATATATAAGAGAGGGATAATGAAGACTCGTGAAAATTACCAGCCCTGTAGGGTCTTATAAAGTTGAAAAAGAGCTAATGTAGAATATAATAAACTAACAAACTACACTATGATAGCCTGACATAAGAATTCTAAGCTGACCTCATATACCTACGATGAATTGAATAATAATGTCAGAAAGATAGCTTCATCAAACTCATTTCTAGCTATGGGTAAGTTAAGTAGATAATAGTTGTAGTTGTACCAATTATGGTATAATACTGTTTGTTTAGTCTATCCTCAAAACTTATGAGGGGGTAGCAGGAGCGGCATCAGAGTTAACAGGTCGTTACCAAGAATATATATCGTTATCGAGTATATTTAGATTGATATATCTAAGTATTTATTTATATTGATCCTATATTGTTTTTAAATAGGATATAATGACTTGGGCTAGTTAGATTTTGACGTCCTTTGAATTTGGGTGATTATAGATTTAAGTATTGTGTTTATATATTCAGTTAACCAATAATCTTTCATTCTGGTAGTATGAGTCACAAATCCGTTGTAAGAAACTATGAAATTGGCGTTGGTGTAAGGTTCTGTCTAGGGTGCTAGAAAGTAGGCCAAGCTGCAGTAAGAGTCATGATATATATTTTAAAATAACATAAAAAGCAATACGAAATATAACGTCTGGTGACGAAGAGGGAACACGCTCGGTCACAGCACATATTCAGGTAATAGTCCTGGATGAGATGTCGAGGTCCGAGAGATCGTAGGTTCAATCCCTAACCAGACAAATACTCTTTCATTCGATTTCTTTTTGGCCCTCATATTCTTTTGGTTCATGTATTATTAGGTGTATAGGAAACGCGGAAATTAGTGTTGAATGATTATCAACTTCTAGACTTTATATTTAACACCTAGTTGATATCATAATTATTTCAATCATTATCAATTATATTAATACCTACTCAACATACTTAGAACACTTCTCTATGACCGCGAGATAATTATTTTCTGCTAATGCTATATTACTAACTTTCAAAAGACTGTCTAGTACGCCTGGAAGACGACATGAGTCATAAAGCACGGCCTCTCACTAAATGGAGCTATATTCAGGGGTAATTTATCAACGAACCAACGAACCAACGAACCAAATTCAGTATAGCATGTATTAAAGAAATATATTTCGAGTCCAGTTAATGTATTCAAGTTCTTGCGAATTTAATGAGCTTATGCATATATGTATAGGGGTATATTTAATTCCACCATCTAACTCTAGACTGAACCCATTCCCCGTAATTTGATTATGTACACAGGGGTCTATAAAAACTATAGTGACTAAAAGTGAGAGACCTGGGAAATCCTAATTTGCTTAAGCGCTGGTAGAAGAAGGAGGACCACCGCTCATAGAACCGCTCGGGAATCCACTAGGAGCAGTCCCATTTCCACCAGGGCCAGTTCCGTTGCCACCTCCACCGCCACCGATGGTGAAGCCAGTCGAGTGGCCACCCTCAGCATCAAGGTATGCGGCTACAATTTACGAATTAGCTCTCATATTCTTATCTGTATTTTAGAAGTAGATTAAACTTACCAACTCCGTAGTACTCGTCCTCGTTGTAGTCAGCAGAGCCGTTAATGCCGATCTGGATCCACGCAAATAGGCCGTCCTCGATGGAGTCGCCGAGGTAGACGAATTGCGGGATAGGGTCGAACGACTCGTCAGCCTGGATGATGGACCACATGTCTTCGTCGTTGGTGGTTACTTCCACTGTGTTGGTGTTGTACGGATACGTCGCCTCGACTTCGACGCGTAGGTCCTCGGGCCAGAATAGCTGTCCGATGTGACTAACCGGCGCATTCCTATTGTCGAGGGTTAGTTATGGTGTATCGAAAAAATCGAAGCATTGGACTCTAGGATAGGTGACTTTATTTTTATCATAACTTACCACACGGAGATAGTACCGTTGGGCATGACCGTAGCATTGGTATGCGACAACAAGTGCGTGTGGACGGCACGTCCACCGTAGTGACCAGGGAAGATTGTCTCAAAGCTGGCGACACCATCGCCATCCGTCAACTGGACTCCTCGGAGGTAAGTAGAGTTGTATCCACCATCGGCGTAGTTTCCGTTGGTAGAGATACCGCTGTAGACACCGGTGGCATTGCAATTCCAGATATCAACCGCGACGGCAGGCATGGGATCGCAGGTGTTGACGTCGATGTACTGGACCTCGAGGAATAAGTCGATACCGTCACAATACTTGGCCTCCTTGACGTTGGATCGCATCTTCTCGCCTACAACATAGTACGGTCCACCGGTGATTTCAGGGGCCAAGATACAGCTCGTGTTTCCACTGAAGACCTCCTCGAGTGAAGTGAACATGTCGTAGTCATATGTTCCCGTCATGTTGTGGTTGACCTTCTCCCAGGCCTGGAGATCCGCGAGGTCTCGCTTGTTTTTTCTCGCGGCTGAAGACTCTGTTAGTTCAAAACACCTTGTAGTTTAATATTCAATACTCACTGGTCTGGATGCCGCGCTGCTGTCGGATTTTATTAACAGTCTCGGCACGGCGCTTGATCGAGCGCGCCTTGAGTGCCTGAGCGGAAGCCGAGTTCGAGCATGAAGCCAGCGATCGAGCGCCGAGTTGAGCCGCATTGTCACGGGCTACAATCTCACGCTTCATCTTGTGCGAATCATGCTTCTCGCCAGGATGAGCAGTGGCGTAGCTGACAAGAGCCGCGAGGGCTAGGTTGGAGAAAGCGACCATGATGACGATGAGCAAATAGAGGATCTTTGAAAACAATTGACTGCTACCGAACGACTTGATAGGGGTTGGTGATGAGTAGAAAATGGCAACTGAGACAGCGACATGATGGTCTTTTAATGTTGCTACTGGAGGCTCTACCCAGATGCGTGGCTCTCTTCTGGGCCCACTGGACGACGAGTCAGGACATCTCTATTCGTAATGTTTGTCGTGCATCCTGGTGCTGCATTGTTCTTGGCGACCTCATGGTATATCAAGGACTCGCAAAAATCTCTGGCTTCTCCATTACAATTGTTACCATTGAACTCTCTAGTAGGCTTTAGCCTCAGCCTTTAAAGATACCATTACGCGTCCCCTACGTAGAGGCGAATATTGGGATATGAGAAAAAGCTGAGCCTTGTTCAGGAGAGTTGCGTTCGTAGGGAACAGGGGGACCCTAGTTATTTCACCTGCCAATTAGGGACACGGGATTTTCAAATCCATCGGACAATTCGACGATTCAAGCATCGTCGTGTCTTCTAGAGCTGAAAGCCTTGAAACGGGATGTGGATGGTTGACGAATCCGACCCACATAGGCTGATACCTATATCCGCATTTTACTAGTTATAATGCATAATAGTCCCTTTTCATCATCTAAATAAAGCCTATCTAATAAGATATGTTTCCGTATTTTAATGTTTCGTGGGGTGACTATTTTTATTGCGTCTCTTTTAATCGTGTCGAAAGATGAACGCGTCAAATCTTTCATGAGGCTTTTGAGATACCCGGGATTTATATCTCCCGTACTCTAAACCGTCGCGAGTGGGTATATGATAGGTTTGGGATACGGGTGCTTATAGCCAATGAGCCCCGTTTGTTCTGCGAGAATGATGGATAAAGGTATACGTATACCTAGCTCACCTAGGAAAGCCATAACACTTAGTTGATACTTGTGTATGACAAGACTTTATTTATTAAGTAATTCTTCATATGATTGGTTGAGATAACTTGCCTTGTTCTGTAAAGGGTATGTCTAAAGTCCTAATCGAAGTCTGATCGGCTACTTCTTAGGTTTATGCCTTGTATAAGTCGGATTTAGGATGAAAGCTCAGCCTAACAAAATATTATCAAGAGAAATCTGCCGTATACTGCGTAATTAAATGCATCCTCAATCCGCTTTAGGTACCGACAATAACATGACACTATTATGTATACGAAAGGGTATTCTATTCGAAGTAGGGCAATACGACGTATTACAACTTATTTACAAGGTGAAATTCTGGAATGATTCTCAAAAGGAGCACTCATGATATACTGACTCGAGAATGGCAGAAAACTTCTACAATACTTAGGTAAGGATATAATAGGTACCGAACTAAGACATATATGATCTTCCACTTCTCTCATCACACGAATGACTCAAAATTGTGGCATTCCTAATGCCTCTCTCCTTCCAGTGCTCGCCGGGTCAAGATATGGCACTTCGCCGGTCCCCGAAGCCCGTACACCTGTTCTAATACCCTCTACAAGATGCGTATCAGGCTGTTATAATCCACATTAGCACCAAGAAGAAACGGCTATACGAAAACACTCGTAAAGAAATATAGGATACTCACAGTAGCAGCATGCAAAGTGCACACGTTACTCCAAATCGCACAAGCCCCCCTCGTCCAGTGCATCCTAGCTATACAATCATGGTTCCGCGTAATAAGCCTCAGCACATAATCGCGGATCATCTGGTCCTCATACGAATACACGTCGTTAATCCGACTGACGTGCAACCCCACGCCCGCGAATAGCGACTTCCATCCGGTAACGGGGTGCGTGCGGATCACGGGGTGCGACGGCGAAAACTCATAGTCCTTGTTGAGGGGCGACCCGCGAGGAGACATGACGTCGTACCCGCCGGCCTTGCAGGCAGACTCGAAGACGGGCTGCGCGCAAGTCGCCGTCAGGGTTTCGAGGAATTTCTGGTAGGGAGGGGATAACCGGTCGTAGAGCTCGTAGCCGGATACCCAGAGGGTGTCCCCGCCGGCAGGTGGGGTGTCTTGCATGCGGAGGAAGGAGAAATCTGAGGGACAGTTCTCGAAGAGACCTGGAGGATTGATATTAGTATGGAATTCTATAATTGGGAATGGGGAGGTTGGTTAACATACTGTCGCTGTGCCATTCCCTACCCAGATCTCGAGGCTCGCTAGCTGAGCCGGGACGGTTCTTCATCGTGGCATATAACTTCTTGGCCGCCTCGGAGTTGATAACATAGCTGAAATTCTTTCAGCTCCAGAATACTTAAGGGGGTAATTTCCTTCAACCTACATCTGCTTGTCGGTGGTACCGTCTGCCATAGGGAGATTGTTAGGGTCATTATACAGGGGGTGCACGTGCAGCCCATTCTCGGGAGGTCGTCCCGTTAGTTTGCCAAGCAAGTCCGTGATGTACTTCTGCTCCTCGATAGAAAGATCATCTTGGGGGGCTCTGAAGAATACTACGCCGCGCTCGCAGATGGTGATCGCAAGGTCTCGCAGCTGCTCTTCAGCATTGGGGGCTTTTAGTATGTCCTTGAGCTTCGCGGTGGGATATTCCCGGCCGATGATAGGAGTGCTATCGATATATTTGAGATGATCGATAGACGATCCCTTCTTCAAGGGCTCCCGTTTCAGCTTGTTTATAGAAAGAGAACCCATCCTGTACAATAAATAGTATAATATATCCTTTTTGCTCTACGAAACCTGCTAAGGACTCTGGAGAACTGTTGGGTGACTAACGGGGGCGTTGATTCCGGTAAGCGAAGGGGAACCGGCCACTTATATTAACGAGATTGTAGCTTACCGACCGATGAAACCGGAGGATTCTCAAGCTACCCCAATCTATAGCACCGTCCATCGCTTAACTGTCTGCCGTCTGGGGTATGCGGGGACAGCCAAGGGACTATATCAATTCTGGATATCGGCAATGTGAATCTGGGGAAGTTTGGGGTTAGCATGCGGAGATCGCGTACCAATAGTCTGTCGCGGGACATACTCAGGTGAAGACCCTCGGGTCGGGATATGTAGTAGCGCATCTGCTCTATCGGGATGGGTAATTTATCGCCCATGGATTAATGAGTTCTTCAAGAGGCAATCCATCCGCCTCTCATCATCGACAGGATTCTCATCACTTTCATCTGTGTCTTAGCGTAAGTAAGATCCGTATATACCACCATAACGATGGTGGCCGCCGCTATCTCAGCAAATCCGCTGCAGCTGGATATTCGCAGTCATAAAAAGTGTCTTGCAATCTGTTTTGTTGTTACCATCTCGAGCTTTCAATATGGCCTTGATTACGCCCTCGTCGGCGGCTTCATGGCCATGCCTGGCTTCTTGAAAGTCTTTGGCTATTACGACGAAGTGGCTCATAAGTGGGCCATTGATCCGACTGTTCAACAACTTATTTCGTCTCTGATGACAATTGGAACATTCGTGGGTTCGCTTTCGGTTGGGCCGTTCAGCTCCAGGTTTGGGCGACGACAAGGGTTATGGGCAGCGTCTCTCCTAAACTGTATCGCAACAGCAATAATGATCGGAACGACGAATCTCGGTGCACTATATTTTGCCCGCTTTGTTCTTGGTAAGTCTACAATCTATAACTAAGTCGAATTTAGGATAGGACATAACTCATACGCGCGTATAGGAATATCGGTCGGCTGGTTTCTTACTTTCGCCCAAGTTTACATCAACGAAGCAGCGCCCGCCCATCTTCGAGGTATTGCCTTTGCCGTATACCAGAGCCAACTCTCTATAGGATCTATCGTCGGGGCCGCTATCGACTATGGCACCCACACTATGCTCGAAAAGGAAGCTTATCGAATCCCACTTGCCATCTTCTTCGTTGCTCCGACCATCCAGACGATTGCTATGTTCTTCTTTCCGGAGAGCCCAAGATGGCTCATGACACAAGGAAAAGAGGCAGAAGCTGAGTCGGCACTTCGAAGACTTCGAAATGGCAATATTAACGAGAACGAGTTCCAAGCCGAGTTTGAAGAAATTCGAACTTCTACAGCGGCTCAGACGGACCAGTTCAAGGGGAAGCACTTGTGGATTGAGATGTGGAAGGGTACCAATCGGCGTAGATCCTTACTTTCTGTAGCTGTTATCTGCTTCCACTGTGCTAATGGTAAGTGGAACTCCATGAAGGAATAAGAGTTCTCGCTAATATTATATCTAGGGTCTTCTTGGGTAAATATTCCCTCCTATAAACTTGTGATCTAGGTATCAAGTCTTGACTAATCTCTCTTAAACAGCTGAATATTTATACAACTTACTTCCTCACCGTTGCCGGTGTAAATGAAGCATTTTCGTATTCTACCATGATAACGTGTATGGGACTCATTGGCGTCCTAGCCAGCTTCTTTGTCGTTCGGCACATCGACCGTCGTGTCATTCTTCTTATAGGAGTAGCGGCGTGTGGTTTCTGTCAACTCGCGTTTGCTATCGCTTGGACTGTGGCCCCCGGAACTGTGGCCACTGCAAAGGTTGTCATCGCCTTTATCGCTCTGTTCACATTCTTTTATGTTGCCTATGGTAAGTAACGCATTTTTATTCTAGGAAAGGTTCTTGCTAATTTCAATAGCGCCTTACGCTTGGCTCCTAGGAGGCGAACTGCCTAGTAATCATCTCCGAGCTCATACTTACGGTGTAGCCACCGCACTCAACTTCCTTGGAAATTGGCTAGGGGTATTTACCGCGCCGTACTTTATTAATCCAGCCAGCCTGGGATGGAGTGCCAAATACGGGTAAGTAATAGTAATCCCATGATCGACTTTTCGCTAACAGTGTAACATAATAGATATATCTGGTTTGGATCCAACATGATAGTGTTCCTATTCACATGGGCTTTTATGCCAGAGACGCGCGATCGAACCCTAGAAGAGATAAATGAGATATTTGAAGCTAAGGTTCCGGCTCGGAAGTTTAAGAGATATATATGCACAGGTACGGAAGCTGTGAGAGTAGCGGTCATTGAGGAAAAGAATAGAAGCACATCTCATGTAGAGGAAGTAAGTCGGGAAGAGGCATAAGTCACCGAAGTCAGATGATATTTAAATAGTGGCGGGATTGGACTCAGTTACTCCGGTCTTAGGACGTACATCAGCATCTTACCAACTACCTAGGTACTGCATGAATTAACCCTTATGCATTATTATGTGGAGTTTTGGTTAGAGTAGTTCATTTTTAGATATTCTCCCTAATATGGTCTAACCATGGCGTATATTTCACAATATGGGGACATAGGTAGCGTTAGTTTGCTACAACAACAGTAAAAGTTGTGTTGGATTTTTTATGTCCATTATTAATATCTAGTATGCTATATGGAATAATAATAAGGCAAGTACTTGACTATGAGTTGAGATACAAGATATAATAATATTACGCTTCTGGGGCTGTTAGCTCACTATGCCTTAACTTCCTCGTCACGGTAGATCACCCAGTTGCTGACACTCAAGACTAGATTGACATGCGAGACGGAAAGTGCCCCAACCCATCTCCTTAGCTATAATTCTGGCACTACTTAGTGTATTTTTGATCTAATAGATTAGTTAATATCATTACCACACCAGCTTGGTTACGGATTGAACTCACTTGCCTCCCGTTTATTGCTATCTTCGCAAGCTGTGAGACATCATTTTCCGTAATTTCAACGGGGACTTTCTGCAATTCCCTGAGCCTCTTGAGAAACATCGTCCAAATCTGTAACCTTGAAGATTCATCAAGTTCAGGGTACTGTATCGGTATGTGTATTCTACTCTCGAATGCGGTATCGCACTGTACGACTCGGTTGGTCGTGAGGATAAGAATACCCTGATAGTATTCGAGCTGTCTCAGAAATATGCTTACGAGCGCATTTCTCTGGATATTACGCGTATCTCGTTGCTGGAGGAAGATATCGGCTTCGTCGAGCAGGAGCACCGCGTTCCATTTATGCGACATGTCTAGAGTTTCTCAGAGCTTTCTATCGACTTGTCCTGGATTAATAGCTAAGTCCCCGGTAGAAACACTGTACAGGGGTTGCTTGGTAAACCTCAGCCACGGCTTCAGTTGTCAACATTTTACCGCTGCCAAAGGGGTCGCGGAGAACTACTAGATTATGCGCGCTCAGTCGTAGGCTTTTAGTGAATGAGGAGGAAGACTAGGGTGGATGAATCATACTTAGCACTGAGAAATAAGGAGAGAATGGGGATGTTGACATGATAGAGGCAAGTATAGGAGAAGAAAGATTAAGAGACAGATGGAAATGTTTAGTTGGCGATGCGATATCGATTTAGAGGGGATTTGTGAAATATACAATGGCCCGCTGTTTTTTAGCGTAGAGAAATAGGGAAGATGATGTATCTATCTCCTGTTGCTATGGGTATAGAATAAACCATTTGACTTTTAATCCAAGTATACGGGTGTAATGAACGGTTATCTTTAGCTTCTCCCGATACCAATAGAATTAGATATTCAATAGATCTTTGTTATAGGAGCACGATATTTTAATGGAGCTACTTGTTAATATCGAGGTGCGACTTTAAATCTCCCAATTGGGACTTGTTATTATTTTTACTAGTTCAAACCGTTAAACATCAACCCCCCTTTTCGAGAACAGCCCATCGGCCTACGAAGGGTATTATTGATCAAGACACCACCCTATGCGCACTAAAACTTCTAAAAAGCTAAACCTGTTTATAATAAATAAATGGAATTAACTACAAATGTTAACTAAAAGCGTACTTAAATTATGTCAGCTTTGGCAAGTACGTAACAGCATATAGACACCGATTAACATCAAAATCACCAAATTTCTAAGGAATATCAATGCGCAAAATGTCAAGGGACGAATATATTAAGCATTTAACCTTTATAATAACCAACCAGCATGTAATTAAGCTTGTGGAAAACTTGGGTTTCTTTCGTGACTTGTACTGCACCTTTGACCCCTTTTCCCTTAAAAAGGAGGCTTCGGATGTGATAAATCCTTTTAAGAAATCAGTCAAAACGATGTAGGGTAGGTGCGGTACCATATACTTAAATAATGATTTGCTCCTTCTGAAAAATCTTCACAAAAGATAACACGTGTGAGCAGCAACAGCCGTAGTGACAGCTGTACTGACGGCTACAACAACAAGCAGCTGTCGGTTTTACATCGTACCTACCGACAGTCACTCAGGCACCAAAATTATTATTACGGCAGTAATACCAGACCGCCTAGACCGCCCAGGCAGACAATTATACAAACACTTCGCCGCGGCGCGAGAAGCAAGAAATTTATTTTCCCTTTACAACTTCAAACCAACTTAACAATTAATCAATCAATCAATCAACCTACCTACTTATTATAACTTAATTATTGGTTAAGTCTCACATCAATAAAAGAGACCGCGTCTTATCTAAACAAAAGATAATTTATTCACAACACTAAACTTATATCCTATCAACGTCAAATTCAATCCCTGGTGTACAATATCAGAGATGAGGGCTTCGGCAGCAGACTATACTTTACGGTTACAACTCATCAATACAAACTTAACAACTTTTGTCGGCGACATCTGAATGGAGAGACCAGCTTGATACTATCAGGTTGGGGGTGGTGGCGCATGCTACAACTGTGCCAAACAGCAAACAGCACCAAACAGCGCGATCTATTGAAGATCCATTAACAAGTATAATATTATCTCTACTACGGGGAAGATGAATATCCTACTGGTAGATGCGTAATAATACACAGACCAGAAGAAGGACGAGAAGGATGATAATAATTGACGAAGAGGCTTGCTTCCTGTGCTTGTCACACTCCATATACTCTACCATTCTCTCTTCACATCTCTGGCCGGTCCCATGTTCCCCCTCCTTCCAATATACTCATGTCACAGACCTCTCAAGTAGCATTTAACTACATTCCAAAGGAGATAAAGTAAAATGCAAATACTTACTTAGGCATCCAAGGTAAGCTAGCTAAACAAGACAAACCCAACTTCACAAATCATTAAAACTAACATTATCTTTCCCAGATGTTTCTCTTCAATAATGCCACTACTAATTCCAACACTTTATTAACCTCGCCAAAACACCATCAAAGGCCATAGCCAATTCAATGTGTGGTGGGCTCCGACCTCGCCATAAATGCTGGCGTCCCCTCGGATATCTAAGCTAAACTAAACTAAACCACAAGGGTTAACCCGCTGCAGTCTACCGGCTCCTCTCAAATTTACATGAGCGCCGAAGGGATTTTAAGTACCCCGGAGAAGAAAAAAACGCGACAGTATATGCAAGTTCTAGTCATTTCTCTCCCGTTTCAGCCGAGAAGGAAAAAAAGACGTGGCTTCCAGCAGTTAGACCCTTACCCATGCCAATCTAAGGCGGTGGCCAAGACAGTGTTTTCGTTATAAGAGAAACGTCTATAATCCACCTTATTGATTCGTCCTCTATACCCACCTAAGCTATAGGGATAATTTCAAGATGTCTCCGTCCAGGGAAACCAGGTTGAGCTAAGGGCGGGTCCAATGTTTGGCTGATGTCTGAGGGGGGCGGCGGCTTGACTTGGATGACAAGTTTAAGATGAAGATATTGCGCTGGACGCTTTCTCGAATCTAAAGCTGATAAGAGATACCCACACCTAGTGCCGCAAAGCCAGAGCAGCAAGTGGTTCTTAAAGCACAGCTACCAAGGAGATTTTGGGCTCACGGATGTGTGGGCTGTTTGTTCGTGTACACATAGTTGGAAACTGGAAATCCTCTGTTCTGCCTGGCACATAAGCAAGGAGATGGTTGGCTCGAGGAGCTTCGTCACTAAACTAATAACTACTTCTATTATCCTTCTATATGTCTGCTCAAGAACATGTTGGAAAAGTATCAAATCTACCTTACATAGAAATTCTTAAGATAGTTAGTCGTATTTCCTATAGAAATTACAAATGCCTAGTACACAATGAGGAATTTAATAATTTAAGTACAACCCACATCATAGGATAGTCTTTATTCCCCTAAAAGACTGATAATGTTTTAGCATAATAGTTCTCCTAGTGAACATATTTGATTCAAGACTGTGCTTCTGCCGGATTATAAGAGATAGACAAACCAAAAAACTTATCTTCTTTGGATTGCCAATAAGTCATATCCATAGCCCAAGATGATGCATGTCCAATATTACCTATGGAATTCAATTGTGTGCCTAAAAGAGTGATACATTGTAGTATAGACCATGCTCCCATCCATCCACCTTTCAACCAACCAGATTATATAATCCCTTATCCCCAAACCCCATCTCTACTTCTTCCCTAGCACAGCCTTCGCAGCCTCTACCTCCTCCTCAAGCGGTAAGATATCCGGGAGCGGACCCAGCGGCGTAATGGAATGAGGATTAATCTGCGTATGACTGCGCGTGTAGTGGTTCTTGATATGCAGGAAGTTTGTCGTGTCCTTGAATGCGGGATGCTTCCAGTACAAGTTACGCGTGTAGTCGTGCAGGCGCGGGTACCCCGATCTGATGTCGCGTATGTTGCACTTGAAGTGCTGCACGTAGACCGGGTCGAACCGGACCAGCGTCGGGAAGCTGGCTCTTATGTTAGTTATCATTATCAAGGCTAAAGCTTTTTTTTCCTCTTTTTTTTCCTAATTTTTCTTTAGGGGAAGAAGTTCTATGCATAGGGGCGGGCACATCTCTGTGGCGATGCCATAAAAGGGGGCAAGGGGTAAAAGCCAAGAACTTACAGTCTAACATCCACCTCCGTCAACCTATCTCCTAAGAAATACGGCCCCCCCGTCTCCTCTAAATGCTTCTCGGCTCTATCTAACGCCTCAAACAGCGCCGTAACATTCCTCTCATATGCCTCCTGGGTAGTCGCAAATCCACTTTTATACACGCCGTTATTAATATGATCGTAAGTCCACTCGTGCGCCTCCTCGATCTGCGGCCGCAGCGCCTCAGGATATAGATCCACCTTGGCGAACTCGGGTGGAAGCTGCTCGTCGAACACGGTGCCGAGCATGCGCAGGATCTCGCTGCTCTCGTTGTTGACGATGGTGTTGGCTTTCTTGTCGAAGAGGACGGGGACCGTGAAGCGCCCCTCGTAGTCCGGGTCTACTGCGAAATATAACTCGCGTATGTGCGTGTACTTCTCGTGTCCAGGGACTGGGTCTGGGATTACGTTTTCTCCTTCGGCGTCCTTGTCTTCCGGGGTGGGGAATCGCCATCCTGTTGAGATTTTAGTTTCCTAGCCGGAGATATATACGGTTTCTAGAAGCAGACATACCCTTCTCTCCCATATGCCAATGCACGCTGGAAAAGGTGATAAAATCTTCCAGACCCTTAAGCTTCCTCGCAATTAAGGTCCGCGTAGCCTATTCATAGTTAGCTAGTTGGCTCGTCGCATTTTAAAATGTTGGGAAGAAAACACCATACCCAGGGACAAGCATAGCTAACGTAGAGATGATATCGACCCTTCTCAGGCGGGAACTGCGCACCAGGCTCTGTAGAAATCCAATTACGGAACGAGCTGCTAAGACGCTTGAACTCGCCGCTGGCGTCTCCGGGCTTTACCCAGTCTGTGATCTTAGAAGCCTATTTCCCAATTTAAAACCTATTTGAGATCATAAGACTAAGGCAATCTTACCATGCTGATTTGCTGTTCTGTATGCTTCTTCACGGGACTGAATGTTAAATCTCCAAGTATGTTTTTATCTTCTTGTTCTTTTTTTTCCCAAGTTGAATTACTTTTTATATTTACAACTGAATAGCTTTTTAGTAACAGCAATCTGGACGTAAGAGAAGCTGGAATCAAACGGGACGATAATGACAGATTCGTAACACGAGAAAGTGCGAAATGAGGAGTAATTATATTCATAGATGCGGGGAACGTTTACTTGTACAACTCCCTAGACCTAAGTAAACAACTTTTATACCTTTAGTTTTGAAGCTTTCTTCGCTGAGAAATAAGGGGTTTTCAAATCAAATGTTGTAGAAATGACGTGCGCTATGTAGCTTTATTCGGCTTTGTCAGAATCTTTTTTTACTTATGGCTTATATTACGATTACGGATCGTGACGTAAAATGTCCGAGTTATCCAAGCATGACTAATCTGCTTTAAGTATGGAAGTGGAGTCAAACAGGAACTATCTTAGATGCGGAGAAAATTTTACATGATGTAAAAAAAGGAAGGAATGTAAAGTCGAAGATTTGAACCGCGGCGTTAAGAATGATGTTGCTATTGTGGCTAATGGGGCTAATGGGGCTATTAAGGCTGTTGGGGCTATGGGCGCAGTATGTGATTTTTTGGGTTTGACTATTTGCGCAATAGAAAACTGGTACGTACTAAAGAACTTCTTTTTTTTTTTAATAAATATATATATAACTTTACCAAATTAAATCTAACTATTAATTTTTTGGCTTTTTATATAAAAAGTATTTAAATTTGGTAAAAGATTTACCCCGATTTAAAATGGTTAAAAATAAAAAACATTTAAACTTAAATTTAAATACTTTTTATTTAAAACTTATTTAAATTAAATCTTATAAATTTATTAAATANCTTATAACTAACCTAATTATTTTAATTTTAATTTTAAAAAAAAACCAAATTTATAAATATATATTTTAAAATTAATAAATTAATTTATTATTTTTTTTAAATATTATAAAGGTTATTTCTATATTATTTTTAATTTTAAATTTATTATTAAATTTATAGATATTTTAATAATATTATAGTAATAATTTTATATTTATTATATTTAATTTTTATTTATAATTAATATATTAAATTTAAATTTAAAATTAATAAAATTATTTATTTATATTTTATTTTTATTTTTATAATAAAATATATTTTATAATTATATTTATTTAATTTATTTTAATTATATATAATATAATATTAAATATTAATATTAGTAAGAAAATATTTTACTTTATTTTTTTTTTAATAATCCTTTATATAATATTTGGTATTATATTATTAATATATTTTATAATAAAATTTTTAATATTATTATAAAATTTAAAAATATTTAAATAATTAAAATAAAAATTAGCCTTAATAAATGGCTTTATTTTCCAAATAATAATTAAATATATATTTAAAAAAAAAATAATTTTATTATAATTTAATTATAAAATTAATATAAAATTAATATTATATATAAAAGAAAAAAAGATATATTAATTAATTTTAATTATAATTATTTAAATTATATATATTAATCTTCTTATCTAATACTTTTTCCATTATTTTTTATAAAATTTTTATTATTAAATATTTAAATAAATATTTTATAAATATAAATATATATTTATAATATATTAATAACTTTATTTAAAATAAATAAAAAAATATATATTAATTTATAAAAAATTTTATAATAAATTATAATTATTTTATAATTATATTTATTATATCTTTTTTTATTTCTTATATATTATTATAAAAATAATAAGTTTTATATTTTTTAATAGTAAATAATAAAAAGTTTAAATTTTTTTTTTTTTAATAGATTTATTTTTTTACTTTTTTTACTTTATAAAGATTATAGGTAGTAAAATATGGTTTTAATATTATTTTAATTATTTTAAATATTTTTTTATTTTATAAAATTAATTAATATTTTTAATTATTAAAAAATATATAAAATAAAGGTTATAAATATTTTTTTATTATTATTATATTAAATATTTATTATAATAATATATAATTTTTTTATTAATAATTTTAATATTTTATTATAATAATTTATTATTATATTATAATAATTTTTATAATCTTTATATTATTAATAATTTTTTATATTACGGTTAATTTAAATTTAATAATTATATTTATAATTTTTATTAAAAAAGATTAGTATATAAACGTAATAAAAAGGTTAAAAGATTTTTGGTTTATCTATATTTATATTTCTGTTTTTGTTATTATTTTTACTTTTATTTTTATTTTTATTTTTATTTTTATTTTTATTTTTATTTTTACCTTTACCTTTATTTTTATTTTTATTTTTATTTTAATTTATATTTTTATTTTTACTTTTATTAATAGGTATAGGTATAGGCGCGGGTATAATTATAAGGATAAATATAAATATAAATATAGGTATAATTATAGAAATAATTATAAGTATAATTATAAAAATAATTATAAGAATATTTATAGATATAGTTATGGAAATAGTTATAGGAATAATTATAAATATAGCTATAAAAGTGTAGGTAAACTTATAAATATGTTTGCAAGTATAGGTATAAGCATAGGTAAATATAAAATTAAGAATAGTAATAGAAATAATAAAAATAATAGGAATAAATAGGGTAAAAGATGTTAAAGGGGTAGATAGTGTAAATAAGATAGAAGGTATTGGAAAGGCAAATAATATGGAAGGGGTAGAAGGAGTAGGAGGGATAATAGGTATAAAAGGGGTATGTATATAGGTAGGTATTATAATAAAAATTGAATTAATAAGGGTATAAGTATAGGTAAGTATTATAATAAAAATCAAATTAATAGGGATATAAATACAGATAGATATTAGAGTAAAAATGGAGGGATTAAGGGTAGTAATATTTTATTTATTTATATCTTTATTTAATAAAGATATAATAATTAATTAATATTATAATAATTAAGATAGTTTTTAAGAATAATGGTTAAAAAATATAATATATATATATATATATAATATAAAAAAGTAAAATAAGAAAAATTCTATTAATTAGATAAATATAAGATATTAAAAAAAAAAAGATTAATATAAAAGTAAAAGGGAAATATCTTTATATATAATTAATAAACGTTAAATATTTAAAAACATATAAAAATTATATTAGAAATTAGAGAAATTTGTTAATAAATTTATATTTTATTTATTATATAAATATCTTTTAATTTATTTATAATTTTATAATTATAAATATAATTAAGAAGGCAATTATATAGGGGTATTATAAATATTAATATATTAAAATTATTATAAAATTTATTTTTTTTTTATTTAAATTAACCTGTATATTATTATAAATATTATAAATTATTTTTTTCAATATATTTAGAATAATAATAAGATTAAATTTAATATAATTATATAAATAATATAATATATATTATATAAGATTATAAAATTATTTATAAAAATTTAGATTAATTAATATTAAATATAATAATTAATAAAGATTTATAATTTTATAGATATTTTATTTATATTATTGGTTTAATTAATATATTATATTTTTTTTTTATATATTAATTAATTTTTTTTAAAATAATTTATTATATATTTAATATATAAAAGATTTTTATATATATAAAATAATAAAATATAAAATAATAAATAAATTTTTATTATATTAATAAGGTTAATTTATTAATTTATATTTATTTTTTTAATTTTTAATTATGATTTATTTATTATATATTTCTTAAAGAAATAAATAGTAAAAATAATAAGAAAATGGTTATAAATTTTTATTATTAATTAACTTTTTAAATAATATATATTTAATATTAAAGATTTTAGATTTTAAATTTTTATTAAAATAAAGATATAAACTAAATTAATATTAATATAATATATTTAAATATAAATTGAATTTATTAAAATAAATTAATATTTTGGTTATAATTAAGTATAATAGATAATGTTAAGAATAATAAGAAAAGAATTATTAAAATAATATTTAATTTCTTACTATTTATTTAATACTAAATTACGTTTATTTTATTATTTTATAGCTTTATTATTAGGTCTGATTTAATTATTCTTTTAATTTTGGAATTATATTTAAAATTATATTTATATTATTAATAATATTATTTAATTCTAATAAGATATTTTTATTTATATTTAATATTATTTAAAATTTATTAAAAATATTATTTAATTTTAATAAGATATTTTTATCTATATTTAATATTATTTAAGGTTTATTAATAATATTATTTAATTATAATAGGATATTTTTATTTAAATTAAAATTATTTATATATTAATTATAATATATTTTTTTTATTTTATATAATACCCAATTATATTATTTATTTATTATTTTATTTAAGATTATTTATTAATATTATAATCTTTTTAAATATTTTATTATTTTAAATTTTTATATATTTAATTTTATAATTATAATATATAAAAAGATTAATAGTTAATATTATTTCTATTTATTATTTATTATATAAATAGGTAGTTTATATATTTATTATTTTATTTTATAATTATAATTAATATAATAGTAAATTAAAATTAATTTAGTTAATTTTTCGTTTTATTTTATACGTTTATTCTTTTATGTAAAATTTATTAGGTAATATGGCGTATTTATGTAAATTATTACATAAATATTTAATATATTTAAGCTTATCCTTAATATATTTGTTATTATAATAACTTAAGAGTTGGTCTTTTTTATTTATATTATTATAATTTATATTTTTTTTTTATTATTGCTTATTTTATTATAGTATATTAAATATTATAATTATTTAATTAATTATTTAATTTAGTTAATAATCTAATTATATATAAATATTTTATTATTTTTATATTTAATTAATATATTAATAACCTTTTTTATTATAAATTATTATTAAATTTTTTTTTTTTTTAACCAAATTATTTTATAACCTAT